TAAATAATTTCATATTAATAAAAAACTGAAATCTAAAATGAGAAAATATAGTAAATATTCACGATGTTTAGACCTTGACATAGATGCTTAAAATTAGGTCTAGATTTAAAATAACAGGTGCATAGTTAACCTTACCAAAACATTAGGTCAATGGAACTTCAGATCACTTGGGTCTCGACAACAAGGAATATATCTTATGTTTAGACCTCAACAAAACTCAGTGCGTAAAACTAATCTTCCACTTTATTTAAAGTAAATTAAAAAAACATCAGCAGAAACATGTAACAAAATCTAAGGTCAAAGCTAATAAAAGCAAAAATTTTACTTAAAATAGCTTTAGATATGAAGCAGCTCACTTGGGATGGCAATCCAGTTTTGACTACAATGTGGTAGCGCGCATTCAACTTATGCCAAAGTCATTTTTGTTTCCACTACATGTTCTGTGTAAAACTGTGGACCCTTGCAGCATTTTATTAGGTCATTCAATCATCTGCATGCATTGACGGACAGTCATATTAACCATGGACAGACAGTCATATTAACCACTGGCACTGACGACATAAACCGCCTAATTAACCACTAACCAGACCTGTCAAAATGTTGCAAGGACTGGGGAAATATTCCATGCTTCTTGGGAACTTGAGTTCAATTGTGCATTTTTTTTTTTTTTTTGGTTTTTCAAAGCTGGATTGCCAGTAAAGACAATTCTTAGCATTTATGGAATTTATTGAAAAGCAAACAATTCGAGTCAACTTTAACGTTTGGCTGAAATAATGAGCACAATCATGAAAGAAAATGAAAATGCTTGAAACAAATTCTTTCAGAGCATGATCTAAAAGAGGACAGTTATAATTTTCCAACTATATTATGTTCTTATGAAGGGAAATTATTAAGCAAAAAAAATCTAAATGTTAAAAATGGACAGAAAAATGAAATTGAAGTTAAGTTATTCTCTATGAAAATGATATAAATGATAAATAGCCAAACAGTAAAGGATGTGTTCAATCTAAAAAAAAGCTGTTTAAAAACTACATTCATAAAAAAAAATGTTTAAAAGGATTAGTTAGTATATGGCATAAACCTGAAAGAATTTTATTTCAAAACAACAATTACTAGCTAAGTAATAACTCACATGTATTTTTGCTATAACCACATGATTAAAAAAATGAAGTGTGACATTTATTCAAGTTGGCCCTTGACACACTTGGGACAATGTTCAGTATGGAGCAGTAAAATGTGAAAGTCATTATGGAGAAACTCCGAAAATTGCCTCCAAGTTGCTACTGGATAAACTTTGGACATTAACATTAAAGACAATACTGCTGGAAATTTGACCTGTTCGGAACGAAGGAACGTGACTGTTTTGTTGAGTATTGTGTTTCTCCAGTGCGGACTCGTTGCGAACTGCTACTTAACTTGATACAATTGTCTTGGAAGCACAACTGAAGAACATGCCTACCTTGAACTCCATGCCATGTTGGACGTTTGTTTAGACACTTAAGAGTGTGCTTGTTTGGAAGGACGATGCTTGTTTGGAAGGACGATGCTTGTTTGGAAGACGAACTTGAACTTTGTGGAACACTGCTTATTCTGATGTTGGGAGACGTGGAATTCGGATGACTTTGGGACAAGTGGAATTCTGGTGACTTTCTGATGTTGGGACAAGTGGAATTCTGGTGACTTTCTGATGTTGGGACAAGTGGAATTCTGATGACTTTCTGATGTTGGGACAAGTGGAATTCTGATGACTTTCTGATGTTGGGACAAGTGGAATCTCCATCCTTGCTACCCCTGGATGCCTGTATCACTCAGAAAGCTCAGAGGTAATTCCCCCACCCCCTAACTCATTGTTAATTATCAGATAATTTTAAAAAAGGGATTTTGCTGATACAAGTATTGCATCATTTAACTAGGTTTGGGTTTATTTTACAAATTAACACAATGTGATGTGGCAAATGACGCTATTTAATTAATTGTTTCAATTGAGTTTTGAATGTCAATGTAAAAATGGCAGAAATAATGAATCTGTTATTTATAGATTTCAGCATTTAATAACTTGTATTTGACCACAGGTAATGAAAGTAAAATATTTCACATATGTGAACATTTATTTGTATTAAGATTGGTGATTTTTATTTTTGCAGGCATGCATGAAGATGCACAAGACCCCCGGATTGTGAAAGTGGACAGTTTGCAAGTGGAGTCGTTGGTTGGATCGTTTGGATCATCGGCACTGGGGGAGAAGGTTGCATGTTAACTGAGGTGAGGTAACCTTTTCCTTTGCAGCTCAAGGACACATGCACTTGTCCCCCCGGATTGTGACAGTTCGCAAGTGGAGTCGTAGGTTGGATCGTTTGGAATCATCGGCACAGGGGGAACAAGGTTGCATGTTAACTGAGGTGAGGTAACCATTTTTCTTTGCAGTTCAAGGCCACATGCACTTGTTCCCCCCAGAAGAGGAGTCGTTCATGTTCAGAGTGAGTCAAACCAAGATTCTTGTACTTTTTCATGTGCAAGCAAATTTCAATCCATCCTGATTCTAAAAGTCGTATCAACTGCAGTACATATTAGGTTATGGGAACCAATTTGCGCGCCATTTTTTAAAGCAATTTTTGTAATAAAAATGCGCTCATAACAAATCCTACAAATTTGCTTGCATATGTAGATGTAACTTGAACCATCCTGGAAAAATGTCAGTGAAAACAAAGTTTTTATTAAAATAAGCGCGGCAAAAAGTCCATTTGTCAGGGTTTTGCTGAAAAGGAAATTTCAGAGAAAAACATTCCCCAATTTGTTTAGTATCTGAGCTCAATCGTTCTTTTTAAGAATTACTTCTTTTATTTACTAAAAGACCACATTTTGGTTAATTTTTGACGTAAAAAAAAAAAATTCCCAGGGTGGTTGAAATATGTGTTTGTGATGTACTGGTTGGTGGTGGGTGTGTGCTTGTTATCATGTGGGGTGTAGGTGGTGGTTTGTGTGGGGTGTAGGTGGTGGTTTCTCCACAGGTCGTCGGCGACTGGGCGCCTGTGCGAGACAACTGTGCGAGACGACTGCGCGCGGCCACTGCACGCAGCGACTGTGCGAGGCGAATGTGTGCGGCCACTCCACGCGGCCACTGCGCGCTGCGACTAATCGGAGTTTGACTGGTGCCCGGTTGAGGTGCGGCGTAAACCCAGTTAATCGGGGTTGGACTGGTGCGCCGATTGAGGTGCGGCGTAAACCCAGTTAATCGGGCTTGGACTGGTGCCCGATTGAGGTGCGGGGTAAACCCAGTTAATCGGGGTTGGACTGGTGCTCCGATTGAGGTGCGAGGCAAACCCAGTTGTAAGGGACGGGTTGCGTCACCGTGGGGACGTGGGTCCTACGCAGCGGCCTGGAAACCCTAGGATGCCGTGCCTTAAAGGAGCAGGTAGTGCGTCCCTCTTTATAGGGGCGTGGCCCTGTATTCACAGCCGGCAAACGCTGCTACTTCCTCAGAACGCATGAACCTGTAATGGGGGATGAACTGAGGGGGGCACGCATATAGGTTAGGGTATAACCTTCCTGATCCTTCGGGGTTGGGGGGGTGGACCGGACAGTCGGCAACTGTGCCTGGCCCTCCGGGGCCGGCCTTTTGCCCAGCGATGGACCCTTCGATACTGAAAGCGTGTTTGGGGCTGGTATCCTGGGACCTTCACGTGGTGGCCCTGTTCAAACTAGCCTTACCAGGATATGCTTCCAGAAGGTTTTCACCTCAAAACAAGGTAAGATTTTAGAAGTAATGACTTATCAAATATGAAATTGATGCAACTTTTGAAAACTAATTCTTAACAATAAGAAGATTCAACTATCAAAATGAACTTCAAATCAGGCCCCCAGAAAAATCTGTTTCTTGAATTAGTTTTTGCCATTGTGCAAAGAAAAGTTTTTATTTGAAAGATTTTTTTTTATTTCAAAAAGTTGAACGATTTCTAAAATGTGGGTTTTTATAAAAAAAAAATCCTAGAATAGTTAACAATTGCCTCCTCTTTCTTACCGGAATTCAGAGTGTATAAGCAAAGGCCATTTTGTTAGACCAGAACTGAAATTGCTTACAACTCTCAACAAATCTCACTTCACTTTTAACTCAGGTTTTCTGGGCTTCAGAGGGCAAAAAAGTAAAACCCATGAAAAAGACGGTTGCAATTTGCAACTGATCTTTAATGGACAGCAAAAGGAATGGATAAACATCTTCAAAACAGCTGAAATTACAATTGGACATTTTGTTTGTGAACAAGTCAAATGTACTTTGAAGTGCATTCTATATTAACGGCCTAATGCTCTGCATGAGACGGTTTAAAATTGAATTTGTCTGGTCAGTTCGATTAAAAAAAATCAGCAAATTGAAAAGTTTCAAAACTGAACAATTTCCAGTTTAACCCTCCTTGTTTTGGATCAGTCACAGACAGCCAAAAAAACCCATCCTGTTCCCTGCCATGCCTGTTACACAGGCTAGTCACCAAAAGTCAGATCATATTTCAAGCAAGCACTGTGACTAGTCAAATTCAGTCAACAGACAAAAGCAGGCACAGCTGGCTTATCAATTACCTACTAGTTGATAATTGTTTGAAATAACTTTCTCTTTCAGGTGATGGGATAGAAGTATTTTAACAACGAAGATGACACCCAGGTCAGTCAATCTAATTATTGAACATTAAATAAAAAACTTGTATTTAGTTTTAGATAAGGAGATAATTAACATGGAACTGAAGTTTCCAGTTGATTTCTTCGTTAAGTTCTGACTTGACAAACTATCAACGGTAATAACAAAATGATTTTGAAAGCGCATTTATTTGAAGAAGAATAGAACATTGATCATATTGGTTGTAACTTTGTACAGCTTGGTTTCATACACTGACAAATGTATAATGAATCAAAATCAATTTTGTTGAACTTCTTGAACTTGTCGGTTGATGAAAATCTTGAAGCATTTCTTTGGCAGTGTTCACAGAATTTTGAAAATCCACGTATCAAGCTCCCAAAGATTCATGTCTCTACAGGTTTTGTTTTACGGTTGTAGATGACATGAATAAATTTCCATTTTATTGTCTGTTTCTTTTCCCACTCCTCTTTGTCGTCATGGTAATCTGATGATGTCTGACAGGAACCCCATCTACTCAACTCCATCCTTCATGCAACGGACAACTGACTTACCTTGGTCACATGAGGGCAGCAGATATATGCAGTCTCAGAATGATGAGGTAACTAAATCATTTCAGTTGGCCTCAGCTAATGATAATTGTGTGGGTTTTATAAAAAAGATTTCTAGAATAGTTAACAATTGCCTCCTCTTACATACCGGAATTCAGAGTGCATAAGCAAAGGCCTTTTTGCTGAAATCGAAATTGATTACAACTCTCAGCAAATCTCACTCCACTTTTACCTCTGTTTTCTGGGCTTCACAGAGGGCAAAAGATAAAGCCCATGAAAAAGACGATTGCTTTTGTGTTATTAATCAAAAAGCCATTCTAATATGAAATTTGTGGAGGAGATTTGTGTGCACAATGTGCTTTGAAAACTTAACCATTTGAATGATTGTTTTGTCTTGTTTTTGATAATATTGCAAGGTTCAAGCTACCACAGATGAGAAGCTTACTTGAGACAAGAAGGAAAGTAGCAATGAACCAACAACTTCAGGGGAATCCGATCGTCCAATCCAAGGTGAGTATCTGATTGCAATTTGCAACTGAGCTTTTATGGACAGCAAAAGGAATGGATAAACATCTTCAAAACAGCCAAAATTACGATAGGACATTTTGTTTGTGAACAAGTCAAATGTACTTTGAAGAGCATTCTATGGCCTAATGCTCTGCATGAGACGGTTTAAAATTGAATTTGTCTGGTCAGTTCGTTTAAAATAAATCAGCAAATTGAAAAGTTTTAAAACTGAACAATTTCCAGTTTAACCCTCCCTGTTTTGGATCAGTCACAGACAGCCAACCAATCCTGTTTCCCTGCCATGCCTTTTACATAGGCTAGTCACCAACAGTCAGATCATATTTTAAGCAAGCACTGTGACTAGTCAAATTCAGTCAACCAACAAAAGCAGACAAGAAGTATGCACATCTGGCTTATCAATCACCTACTAGTCGATAATTGTTTGAAATAACTTTCTCTTTCAGGTGATGGGGTTGAATTATTTTAGCAACGAAGATGACACCCAGGTCAGTCAATCTAAATATTGAATATTTTTAAACCCTTGCATTTAGATTTGGTTAAGGAGATAATTAACTTGGAACTGAAGTTTCATATTGATTTTGTCATTAAATTCTGACTTGACAAACTATTGATGGTAACAACAAAATGATTGTGAAAGCGCATTTATTTGAAGAAGAATAGAACATTGATATAAAGGTGTCTTCACATATTGGTTGTAACTTTGTACAGCTCGGTTTCATGCACTGACAAATGTATAATGAATCCAAATCAGTTTTGTTGGAACTTCTTGAACTTATTGCTTGATGAAAATCTTGAAGTATTTCTTGGGCAGTTTTCACGGAAATTTGAAAATCCACCTATCAAGCTCCCAGAGATTCATGACTCGACAGGTTTCATTTTACGGTTGTAGATGACAGGAATTATTTTCCATTTTATTGTCTGTTTCTTTTTCCCAATCCTCTTTGTCGTCATGGTAAGCTGATGATGTCTGGCAGGAACCCCATCTACTCAACTCCATCCTTCATGCAACAACAACTGGTCTTACCTTGGTCACATGAGGGCAGCAGATATATGCAGTCTCAGAATGATGAGGTAACTAAATCATTTCAGTTGGCCTCAGCTAATTATAATTGTGTGGGTTTTATAAAAAAAAATTCCTAGAATAGTTAACAATTGCCTCCTCTTACATACCGGAATTCAGAGTGTATAAGCAAAGGCCTTTTTGTTGAATTGAAATTGATTACAACTCTCAGCAAATCTCACTCCACTTTTACCTCGGTTTTCTGGGCTTCAGAGGGCAAAAAAGTAAAGCCCACAAAAAAGACGATTGCTTTTGTGTTATTGACTCAAAAGCCATTCTAATATGAAATTGGTGGAGGAGATTTGTGTGCAAAATGTGCTTTGAAAACTTGACCATTGGAATGGTTGTTTTGTTGTTGATAACATTGCAAGGTACAAACTACCACAGATGAGAAGCTTACTGGAGACAAGAAGGAAAGTAGCGATGAACCAACAACTTCAGGGGAATCCGATCGGCCAATCCAAGGTGAGCATTTGATTGCAATTGATCGATTATAGACAGCAAAAGGAATGGACGAACATCTTCAAAACAGCTGAAATTACAATTGGACATTTTGTTTGTGAACAAGTCAAATGTACTCTGAAGTGCATTATATATTAATGGCCTAATGCTCTGCATGAGACGGTTTAAAATTGAATTTGTCTGGTAAGTTTTTTTTTTAAAAATCAGCAAATTGAAAAGTTTCAAAACTGAGCAATTTCCAATAACCCTCCTTTTTTGGATCAGTCACAGACAGTCAAAAAATATCCTGCTCCCTGCCATGCGTTTTACACAGGCTTGTCACCAACAGTCGGATCATATTTCAAGCAAGCACTGTGACTAGTCAAAATTCAGTCAACAGACAAAAGCAGGCAAGAAGTAGGCACAGCTGGCTTATCTATAACCTAGTAGTTAATAATTGTTTGAAATGAATTTTCTCTTTCAGGTGATGGGATATAATTATTGTAACAACGAAGATGACACCCAGGTCAGTCAATCTAATTATTAAATATTAAATAAAAACTTGTATTTATTAGATTTGGATAAGGAGATAATTAACTTGGAACTGCAGTTTCAAATTGATTTCGTCATTATGTTCTGACTTGACAAACTATTGACATTAATAACAAAATGATTTTGAAAGCGAATTTATTTGAAGAAGAATAGAACATTGATATAAAGGTGTCTTCACATATTGGTTGTAATTAACTTTGTACAACTCAATTTCATACACTGACAAATGTGTAATGAATCAAAATCAAGTTTTGTTGAACTTCTTGAACTTATTGCTTGATGAAAATCTTGAAGTATTTCTTGGGCAGTTTTCACGGAAATTTGAAAATCCACCTATCAAGCTCCCAAAGATTCATGTCTCGACAGGTTTCTTTTTACGGTTGTAGATGACATGGATTAATTTCCAGTTTATTGTCTGTTTCTTTTTCCCAATCCTCTTTGTCTTCATGGTAAGCTGATGATGTCTGGCAGGAACCCCATCTACTCAACTCCATCCTCCATGCAACGGACAACTGGTCTTACCTTGGTCACATGAGGGCAGCAGATTCATGCAGTCTCAGAATTATGAGGTAACTAAATCATTTCAGTTGGCCTCAGCTAATTATAATTGTGTGGGTTTTATAAAAAAGATTCCTAGAATAGTTAACAATTGCCTCCTCTTACATACCGGAATTCAGAGTGCATAAGCAAAGGCCTTTTTGCTGAAATCGAAATTGATTACAACTCTCAGCAAATCTCACTCCACTTTTACCTCGGTTGACTGGGCTTCAGAAGGCAAAAAATAAAACCCATGAAAAAGACGATTGCTTTTGTGTTATTAATCCAAAAGCCATTCTAATATAATATTTGTGGAGAAGATTTATGTGCAAAATGTGCTTTGAAAACTTGACCATTGGAATGGTTGTTTTGTTTTGTTTTTGATAACATTGCAAGGTACAAACTACCACAGATGAGAAGCTTACTGGAGACAAGAAGGAAAGTAGTGATGAACCAACAACTTCAGGGGAATCCGATCGTCCAATCCAAGGTGAGCATTTGATTGCAACTGATCGATTATAGACGGCAAAAGGAATGGATAAACATCCTCAAATGGCTGAAATTACGATTGGACATTTGTCTGTGAACAAATCAAATGTACATTGAATTACTTTCTAAATTAATGGCTTTTGATGCTCTGTTTGAGATGGTTTAAAATTGATTACGTCTGGTTGGTCTGTTAAAAAAAACATCGAATTGAAAAGTTTCAAAACTGAACAATTTCCAGTTTAACCCTCTTTTTTTGGATCAGTCACAGACGGTCAAAAATTGAATCCTGTTCCCTGCCATGCGTTTTACACAGGCTGGTCACCAACAGTCACATCATTATTTGGAGCAAGCACTGTGACTAGTCAAATTCAGTCAACAGACAAAAGCAGGCACAGCTGGCTTATCAATCACCTACTAGTCGATAATTGTTTGAAATAACTTTCTCTTTCAGGTGATGGGCTATCATTATTGTAACAACAAAGACGACACCCAGGTCAGTCAATTTAAACATTGAATATTTTTAAATACTTGTATTTAGATTTGGATAAGGAGATAATTAACTTGGAACTGCAGTTTAATATTGATTTTGTATTTAAATTCTGACTTGACAAACTATCAACGGTTACAACTAAATGATTTTGAAAGCGCATTGATTTTAAGAAGAATAGAACATTAATATAAAGGTGTCTTCACACATTGGTTGTAACTTTGCACAGCTCAATTTCATACACTGACAAATGTGTAATGAATCAAAATCAAGTTTGTTGAACTTCTTGAACTTATCTGTAGATGAAAATCTTGGAGTTATTTCATTGGCAGTTTTCATAGAAATTTGAAAATCCACCTATCAAGCTCCCAAAGATTCATGTCTCGACAGGTTTTGTTTTACGTTGTAGATGACATGAATGATTTCCATTTTATTGTGTATCTTTTCCCAATCCTCTTTGTCGTCATGGTAAGCTGATGATGTCTGGCAGGAACCCCATCTACTCAACTCCATCCTTCATGCAACGGACAACTGGTCTTACCTTGGTCACATGAGGGCAGCAGATTCATGCAGTCTCAGAACGATGAGGTAACTAAATCATTTCCTTTGATTGTTACGAGATCTTTTACCTATACTCTATAAAGTCAAAGCATTAAGTGACCAAAACGCTTTTTTTGGCATAGATTATGGATCTTTCTCTCTGCCTCAAAAGAATTAAACCTCACAATTCAATTATGAATGTGAAAACAAGTACCATAATTCTATCCCCAAAAACATTTTTTTACCAAAAAAATACATTTGACCGTGTTCCACCTCACTGGCACACCAAATTGAACGTTCTCATTTCCTCCTTTAATCTCATACCACATTTGTGGTGGCTAGTGCTTGTAGTTCTGTAGATTTCATAGATTTTCCAATTTTTAGCAGTCTCCACTTTGCCATCGAATTGCCCTTAAAATAACTTGAGTTTTGATGTGAACGTGAATTCAAAGTCAATTGAAGTTTCAACTCCTAAATTGACTAGGTTCTCCTTATCAAATAATAAGAACTGATAACAAATGAATGGGTTATATATTTAAAAAAACTGTTGATTTGATTTCTCCCAAACTATGCAGTCACTTTTATGTGCAATAGGCTTACAGAACCGAAGTTTTGACACAGTGTTTATCCTGATCGACTCATCTTCATGTTAAATATGTGGATATTTATATATTTTTTTGGTGCCATTATCATTTTGATTCTGTTATTTGTCCACTCCTAAATTCATTAAAATAGTTCCCCTGTGCCTGTGTTGGCAGTTAGCATGTCCCTGTTGTCTGCTTTTGCTTATCTGTGGCGTATCCTAGGGAGGTTGCTGACAGGTGATGGCCAGCATCATTCACCAGTTGTCCTGGTCTTCCAGGGCGTTTTCTTTGGGCCTCAGATGGATGTCTGAATCAAGTGTTTTTGCTGCATGTTCATGGTACAGTACCGTCTCCCAACCTCTTATCTGCCATCTGTCATGGGAGAGATGCCAGAGCATGTGCAGTTGAGGAGGTTGGTAGCCAGAGGGTGAAGCTGATGTCCAAGTCAACAAAGCTGACGTCTGGCGGTAGAGGTCCTGGATGCAGACTCTGTCTAATTTAGGTGATGTTGAGTATGTAAGAAACGACAAGGGAATTACTCTTGATGCACCATGTGAAGTATCAGTCTCTGCTTAAATATCATCACATCAGATGAGCGGACAGTGTCTTTCAATCTACAGTGGCAATATTTAACATGTCTCTATGAAGGTCGGGTTCTCAACTCTTGAAAGACAGCTACCATGGTACTGTTGTACAAGAAGGGCGACCCCCCCCCCCCCCCACAGGTGCTCGACCAACTCCCAGCTGATTGCCCTGCAGTCAGAACCATTGACGAGATCTGGCCATTTTCCAACACTCCACAGATGAACACTTTGGTTCCTGTAATGTGGATGAGGGGTTGCCCAGGAAATCTAACACTCTGTGGATGCATGCTTGGGGCACCTCAGGGTTCCCGTAACACAGATGAGGGTATATGCCGGGGGTACAACCAAAACCCTCTGACTGATGTGTTGCGCTCGTGAGGGAGCAGGCTGGGTTGAAGACCCGAGGAGGACCGCACTGCCGAGTCGGGGTTTGCCGAGACGGGGTTTGCCGAGACTGCAGACTTCACAGCCCTCGGAGTAGAAGAATCGCTGCCTGGTGGTGCTGTCACACGTTGGTGATTTAAAGTCAGTGTGTGACTGTTTTGCTCAACATGCGGTTGCCCTGGCTCACAGCTCCACTGATATAATCGTCATGTGGCAAGAACCCGACCAGCACAACATCATGGTGCACTGTGATGTGGGCACGGGCCAGAATTTGATGTGCAGGAGGCTAGCAGGCTTCAGAAGCTTAAACAGGTGATGAGTCTGGTCCAGGATGGCTCTGAGGTCAGATATACTGGCACTGAGGAAACACTGGTGAACTACTGAACCGAAGTTCATTTGGAAAGTGTTGACTCTGAACTCTTGTTTCCAAATTAGGCCCGTGCGGGAAGTCTGGTTCGGAGTTGCTATGCCCCATCATGCAGGAGGTTTCTGCCAGCCTAGGTCGATCAGATGTAAACTCCGCACCTGGGAAAGACCAACTTGAATATCGTCCCATCATATTGGCAGACAGTGCATTTTGAGTTACAGTGGTGATATTTATTCGGTGTCTGTATGAAGGTCTGATCCCCAACTCCTGGAAGACAGCTACCCCTGTACTGTTGTACAAGAAGGGCGACCAAGCGTGCCCGTCCAACTTCTGGTCGATTGCCCTGCAGTCGTGCCTGTACAATCTGCTGATGAAGGCAACCCTTTACCGTCCGACCCCTTTGGGCGCAAGACTGTATCTCATCAGTGATGCCTAGAGTGCTTGGCCTAGTGAGGGTTGCTTTGAGCACACCCACCTAATGTTGACAATTTGTGTAGGGGATGCACACCAGAATCAGAAACATCTGTATATGGCGTGGCTCAATCTACAGAATGCTTGCAGCAGCATTCCCCATGATGCTATATTCTCTGTGTTAATTTGCCTTGGTCAGTGCACTCAATTAAGGGGTTCATAGATAGACATCATCCGGGATGTCTGTACCTGGGCCGGCACAGAGTTTATGACACCTTCAGGGAGGGCTGAGCCTGTATCCATCTGTTCAGTAGTCAAGCAAGGTTGTCTGATCTCCCAGATACATTTCAACTTGACTCTAGAATTTGTGATGTGGGCGGTGTCCAGAGCGGTGCATGGCATGTCATTCCGGTCCTTGCCTTTGCTGGTGATGGTTGCTCAGTAATTTGGGCGAGGGCCTGCAGTGGCTTTGACACGGCCATTAAGCTTTGGCACGTGTGGCCAAGATGACAGATGATCTGCGCAAGGTGGAATATCCTCTCTCCTGGCCCCCCGGCAAAAGCTGGAAGCACTACAAATTTGCATTGAAAAGTGCACTTTGTATGCATTGCGTGCCGGTAATTGCCAGACGAAAAGTCTGCAGTGGCTATGGGAAGAGGTGGGGAAGTTGGTACGGAAGTTGCAACATTTGGACCCCGGCCACCACCAACTATGTCTTTGCAGACAGAAAGGTGGGCTGGGTCTGATAGATCCCAAACAGGCCGGATGCTGCAGTCAAACAGTCATGCAAGCTGTACGCATTTTGTCTTCTTCTGACGATACCGTCCGCGGTGTCTCCACCACGCAGCTGACCTCTGTCATCTGCTGCACCATTCAGTTCATGAGTGGGTCTTTAGAGCAGGATCGACCTGGCCAACTTGTGCGGACGGATCTCTACCCTCTTGTCCCTTGGCTAGGGGGGTGGCTCGCCTGTTACGTATCTCTTTCAATGGCTGCTTTTCCGGCTCGGTAGTCACACGTAATAGGGGAAGGAGATATGCTCCAAGAGCATTACCACAGCTCTGCTGCTTGAGGGTTCTATATACTCCTGTAAATTACTGTCGGTGACAAATGACAAGCGGCCGGCAATTTGAATCGGGGCTCTTTTGCACCCTCACTAGATTACTTGGCTGATATCACATACACACCACTGCCTGTCATTCAGAGCATGGTTGATAGATTACAATTCCAAGTCAAGGCTTCACTACAAGCAGTACAGAACCGTACACAATGGACAGACATACTCCCACTCATCCTGCAAGAAATTTGTTCTGCAGTCAAACCAGACTTGGGCCGTTGTCCAGCTGAACTCGTTTTTGACACCTGCGCTCATCTGTTGATTGGCCTGACAGCGTTGCAGCTCAGTTCAACCGAGCAGACTATGTTGACTGGCTCAAGCCATCCATGTGTCGGCTTCATACCACCCTGTTGACAACATCAGCGAGCTGTTCACATTCCAAAGGATCTGACTACATGCACCCTTGTATTCATGCGTCATGATGGAGTATAGGCAAGCCCCTCCAACTACCCTATAATGGACCATACAGGGTTATCAGCCGCACAGACAAACAGTTTGTCATTGACATTACTGGACGCACAAACACATCATGTATTGACTTCATGTAGGTAAAACCTGCTTTTTTTAATGACAACCTTTGTAGACACTTAAAATTTCTCTTGTGCACTTGAAACGGTCAAAACTCCTTCTGTGGTGACCAAAACATGAACAGGTCGCCGTGTGAATTGGCCTAGGACACTTACTCGTTTCGTACATTAACATTCCTGGTGGGGCTCCTGTAGTAGCCAAGATATCGTTGCAGCGTCCTCTGTAAACCGCTCTGTGAACACTAAGGTCAATGTTAGCTCATTTTTCTGTGTGCTCACATGTCGTTTCAGCACATGCATGAAATCATGTTAACTACCAGAACTAATCTATTTTGCATTATTTGCACATTCTTTGATAAAGCGGGCTGACCTGTGCAACTTTTCCCTCTGGAAATTCATCGGAAGCCTGTTATCAGAACCACAAGAAGAGGAGCAAACGTGTTTCAGGTGAGCTTAAAACTTGCTCAATATACTTCAGTACTTGCGTTTGCGACAATCTGTATGTGAATTATGGGTTGATTATAAATTCATGCTAAATTTTGCGGTGAATATGAATGCAAAAAAGCTAAATTTCCAAATTCTGTCTACAAAACTTCTCCCTACAAAGAGTTCTCCCAACTTAGTGGAGCCTCAAAAGCTACAAAAGCCTGCAAAATTATGAAAAAGTCATTGACAACATGTATGCAGTGGCGTCACCAGACTTTTCAGTCTGGGGGGGCACAGGGGGGGCACCAGCATTTGATGGGGGGGGGGGGGCACTTAGGTGGATACGGATCGCCGTCCTGGGGGAGGGGTCTAAGGGGAGGGGGTGCCCCCCTCCCCTTTGGAAAATTTTCGCATACGGAGGATGGGCTAGATGCAAAATGGTGCCACATTTGATGCTAAATTCGATCTGAAGATATCTCCAGAAATTGCTATTTTTGAGGTAATGATTTTAACAATGCGCAGAATTTTGCAGAGGATAGGGGGGCACCAGCATTTGATGGGGGGGCACTCGGGGGGGCACTAGGTTTTCCAGGGGAGGCACGTGCCCCCCCTGGCCCCCCCTTGGCGACGCCACTGCATGTATGCAAGTATGCTATTTACAGTCGACTCTCGTTAGTACAAACTCTGTTAATACAAAATTCTGGTTATAACAAACATAAAGCCTTAGTCCCAACTGTGCATTTATGTGCACAATGAATGGGACTGATGTTCCTCTTAGTACAAAATTCTGATATAACAAACAATTTGGCTAGGTCCGAACGAGTTTGTATTAACGAGACTCGACTGTATATTTAATTTGTTGGGTTTTTTTTAAACTTGAATTTCAGGTTTTCCTACTCTTACCAAGAAGACGTTGCTCTTGATGCTGGAATGCCCTGAAACTGCACCACTTTGTGATGACATCAAACATCAGAGAAACTTCATCCAAGGTGCCTTGGGACTATTTAGAATGTACTAGGCTGTTAAATTAGTAAAAAAGGTTGTATGGGCAATTCCATGCTGGTGGAGACACAAGATCACAAAATTACTTCACGGTTTGTTCAAGTTTCATTTGACAAAGTGACACAATATAGCTTGGCGCTTCTAAGACTAAAATAGTTTCTTTCGCAACGCGCACTATTTTGAGTTACACGGTACGCCATCACATCAAAGTCTGCGGTGACATCCTGATGACTTATGGTAAGGAATTTTGAGTTAATCTTTTGCTATTTATTCAGCAAAATTTCTCTCAATTTTGTTGTTAATGTTTGAGGGCGTCTTTGTTAAAATGGATATTATTTTTAGTCATCAATTTTAGTCAGATTTTGCTTCTAAATTGAGATACAAACTTCATGAATTATCAATCACCCAAAGTGATTGTTTTTTGGTAAATACCTACATTTTCCGACCAGTGAAGTATTCTGGTAAATTTTGGTTCTGGGAAGTGTATTAAAAAACTGGTTTTTATTTAACATTTTTGTTTTAATGCTTAGGCCAGCCATGAAATATTGTAGTGTCGGCCACATGTATTGTCATGCTGTTACAATATCCTAGTGTAACGTAGTGTCAGTCGTCTTATTGCACAGTCCGTAGTTGAGGAAAATGCAAGTACACATGTTATTTAAGTCCATTCACATACAAGTAGTAAACTCTTTTAACCGAAATATGAGTGCCCGGCCACTGTCTGAGCAGCTTCTATGGTTTTCACCATATTTGGACATCTGTAAAACCCTTTGATAAAATTAAAGAATATATTTGTGTAGCTTTTGGGCACAAGTATTCTGTCATCGTCCATTCTGATGGAGAGGGGTGGGGGATGTCTTCCCTGTGAGAACTGAATTATTTTTTTGGCACCAAATAGTTTGATACTCATAATTCATTATCACTAAACCTTGGCTGATTTTATTCATTTGTTTTATTGTGGGTTCACTGGATAACTTTGGTATTGCTAACAAAATGCAATTAAATTTGTGTGAGTATAAACATGTACAAAATACAAATAATTGTGTGGAATATTTTATATTTTTCAGGGAAGATCTACACCCAAGTTGCAAGTTAATTACAGCAGCACAGAGAAGGGCACAGCAGAAACAAAACTTGGAAGAAAAGGATTGTCTGAAGACCACAAGAGGAAGAAATGAAAGAGGAATAGATGGAAAAAGAACAGAAAATGAGGAGTTTCATAAGTGTACATGAATAAAACTGTGAGAAAAAATAGTTAAAATTGAGCATGGAATTTTTTTAGCATGTTGAGACCTCAAATTATTAGCAAAGAAAATATGTATATGACATGTATTAAATATGCAATTCTATTCACACAGTTATTGTTAATGGAGTCAACATTTAATATTGTAAGGTCATTTTTGAGAAATTTCTTGCCTCATTTGCTTTATGTCCATTTAATTTTGAGGTTCCGACGGTATATAGGTTTTTATTACATGTGTTTTTTTTTTATTTAACTAGGTTTTGATCCTGAAAAATTATTTTCTTGTTGCATATACATGTAGTTGGTTAGAAATAAAGAAAATAAAACCTGTACCTCAGCAGAAATGTTTCGATGCGTAATATCAGTCACAGTAATGTCCGTCACAGAGTCTCATTTTCAAAATTACATTTTACATCTGACTTGTAAACACTGCATCTACTGGCTATGATCAATAAATGGAATATTATATGTTGAACCTTTAACTTGAAGATAAATTTCAAATTTGTTCTGTCATTTGTTTCCTGTGTGGCTTTTATTTAATGTCAGTCACGATAAAGTGTCCCGATGAGGACGACAGAAAAGATCAACGCGTTTGTAAATTGCAAGATATGTTTAGGCCCAACCACTGCTCAAGCAAACCTAACGTACACTGGATTCACTAGTGTTTTTTTTTGGGGGGGAACAGAATTAGCTGCTTATGCAGGTTGCAAAAAGATGCTTTCGGCAAAAAAAAATATATATATACATGTACTACAAATTTGTGAGAGATTCAAGTCACAAAAATTTACTACACACTTTGAAAAGTTCAGTCTTAATAGCTTCCAATTGCTATCCGTCACGTCGGAATATCATAAAATTAAGAATGAGAAGTTGATATAATTAATGAAATGCAAGAATTTTTGAGCGAAAAAGACGACAATTTATACGGAATTACTTCTTTTATGCAATACGGAATACTATACGGTGTCACTAAAGAATTGCGCATGAACTGAGTAACATAAAATTGATGGGATAGAGTCTTTTATAAAATTGATAATAAATTGGTAGGAATACAAGATATTGGTGCTAACTAATTTCAAACCCACCGAAACCCTCCAATGTCCGTCACCGTGGAATTGCCCATATACTTGATAAAACTGTAGATTTTCTGGTTGCCCAATTAGTAACTGGGCCTTATTGTATTACTGATTATTTATGTATTTATTATTTATGTAAATTTAAAAGTGCGCCTATGCAAAGTACTGTACTAAGCTATACAACTTGTGAAAAAAAAATCTGTCATTGTTATGTTATAGTGAAATGAAACAATAAGCATTAAAACATAGTGAACAATTGAGATTTTTGTTTGTATATTAATAAATATTTATGTTTAAGTTGGGGACTCCTATTTTGGTTAAACAGCGCCCTCTATTGCCCATGAATTGCTTACAATTGTTTAATTAACGAATTAATGTACGATTCCCAAATAACAAGTAGTTTAAACATGATACATAGGAGCGCTTTGTTACAAGGTGTAAGATATGGTTAACAAAAATGAAATGAAACTATGAAACCAATTTTAGGCAATGTAAAAGATGTTATCAAATAAGAAAGTTGAACATTAGTATTAAACTTAGTCACAATAGGTCATTGAAATTTTGTCTTTTTGTAAAGTTACATTTGTGAAACTAGATTCCTATTGGGAAAAAGGTATGGAAGGAGATTAATTCAATTTAAAACAAGATATAAATATCTGCTTTTATGAAATGTCTTTAAATGTATCGGAAAGAATTAGAGAATGATGAGTTTTCATGAAATAATTTTAGAGCTCTATAATTAATAATTGCATAGAATCAAGCCAGATAGACACAACTAAAATATTGGACTGTAGAGGGCAGTATTCATATACGTGTATCCTATTTGCAATCAGTGTTAACTTATTTAAATTTAGTTGTACTGCAAATTATTTGTGACATAAGGTGTCGCTCTATATTGGAATTGGTGTTTTTCTTTGTGAAGTGGATACAACTTTTAGAATTTGAATTTTAAAAAATGTATAAGATGCTGAAGGCAATACTAACTGACAGAGCGTCCTTTTGGCAAAAGCTAGATCGCTATATAACTTTTTAAAAAAAATCCCATTTTCACATTCAAGCAAAAGTTTGCCATTTTATAGTAAATAAATACGGCCGACACCCCCCCCTAAAAAAAATGGTGCAAAGTTTGAACAAAGAATTTCCCACTAAAATGTTAAGCATTAATTGATTCTTTTAAAGGGAAGTAAATTAATATTGACAATTATTACACTACAAATTGTAAAATAGTAAGAAATTTAATATATTTATCAAATTTATACTGGAAATAATGTACATATACAACCTGCAGTAGAAAAGATATTGAATAAATTTGAGAACCAGAAATTTGGACCTGTGGTGGTTTACTGCTGAATATTCAGTTTTTCTGCTTTTTATTATTCAATTATTCAAATGAGGGCAAGGGTTTTTTTTTTTCTTTTTTTTTAAATATTGCGCAATCTAACCTTTAAATATTAGTTCCGAGAACAAATTTTCGAAGAGGCCAGTGGCCTGGCGGTCTAGCTCGCTGACCGCCAGGCCGGCATCCCCGGATCAAATCCCAGCCGGGGACCCGGGAGGAGAATTTTTCCTCACAGCAGAGATAAATTTTAAAAATAAATAAAATAGTAGCATGGAGCAGGGTTGAACCGCGTACCTTCTGCATGCCAGCTCTCTTTTTTCCCGCTCTGCCATGGCACTTTCTTGAAAAACTCTCCGGTTTTCGTAATTAAAACCCTTAGGTTGTTTGGACTTAGAAAATTTTTCAGCTCTGGCCAGAATTTCAGATCAAGGGGTACCCCTTAAGATTTTTCCAGATCTGAGGGTCTGAGGCTGGGTTTGGACTTAGAAAATTTTTCAGCTCTGGCCAGAATTTCAGAATCAAGGGGTACCCCTTAAGATTTTTCCAGATCTGAGGGTCTGAGGCTGGGTTTTTAAAAGTTGGGAGCTGAGGGGGTTTCGAGCTGGAGGGTAGGTTTTCGGACTCTGGGCTGGCCGGTGGATGGTTGAGAGGGAACTGGACTATAAGTTGAAGGGCTTCCAAATTCACAGGTCTGCAAATTGATAGGACTAGGATTTTATGCGTCTTAAGCTTGTTGGACTTAGAGTTGGGCTGGCTAGTTGTTGGTTGAGAGGGAACTGGACTATTAGTTGACGGGCTTCCAAATTGATAGTTTGCCATTTGATAGAACTTAGAGTTATGGGTCTTGGGCTTGTTGGACTTAAAGTTATTTGGGCTAGACTTTTATATTAGTTGGACTAAAGGTTTGGACTGGATAACTGAAGCTTCCTGTTTGAAGTCCTGTTAGTATTATTTGTGAAGTCCAGATCTGTCTTCGCAGCCAATCAGTCAGACTGGTAGTTGGCCTTTGCCTTTTTGGAGATTGATGCAATTGTTGAAGCTTGATGAAGAGCATATAAGACTGCTGGAATGCTGGTTGCCAGTGCTGTGTGAGATGGATATCTACTTCTTAGTGTGAGGGTCTTGATGCAACCTGGTTGAAGGTCCTTCCTCAATTGACCGTGTGGTTTGCTGTCGGAGTAGGTTTTCATGCTTCAATGATTTTGTATGGCTTATGGCCCTCTCTTGTCAAGGTGTTTAGAGGTCACATGATAGTCTGGTGCCGGTGAAAATTTAATGTTTTTTAGGAGTATCTGGTTATACACTTAATTTTTTTGTGGTAGTTGTGAATGTTTGCAACTCCTACATTTTTCTCAATTTCGGCAACTTCATTGGTGCGCTTCAAGGAGTAATTTTAAACAGCATAGAAAATGGAGAAATATTACGAATCATGGCTCTTTTGGATGTTGCAACAGTAATGCAATTTTAACAAATTTGCAAGAGCTTCGATTATAAAAAAGTGCATTTTTACACATACAGTTTTATAATTTGAACACATTTAATCATTGTGAAATTAAAAATAAATTGATCGTTAAAAAACTCTTCTTGCCATTTTGCGAACAATCAGCGAGACAACATTTCAGTTAAACACAACAGATATTTCCTGAGTCGACATTTGGGAAAATGTGTTCTTGTTGCATTATTGGTTGATGTTATTTTGGTAGTACTTTTTGTGCTGAACACATTCTAATGGTTTTGGTTGTAATAACTGCATTGTTAGAAAATTTCTTTTGAAATTTCAGAGGCTTTTAAAGATTTTACATTCCAGTTGCCAGTGCTATGTGAGATGGATGTAGACTTCTTAGCGTGAGGGTCTTGATGCAACCTGGTTGAAGGGCCTTCCTCAATTGACCGTGTGGTTTGCTGTCGGAGTAGGTTTTCATGCTTCAACGATTTTGTATGGCTTATGGCCCTCTCTTGTCAAGGTGTTCAGAGGTCACATGATAGTCTGGTGCCGGTGAAAATTTAATATTTTTTGAGGAGTATCTGGTTAAACACTTAATTTTTTTGTGGTAGTTGTGAATGTTTGCAACTCCTACATTTTTCTCAATTTCGGAAACTCCATTGGTGCGCTTCAAGGAGTAATTTTAAACAGCATAGAAAGTGGAGAAATATTACGAATCATGGCTCTTTCGAACGTTGCAACAGTAATGCAATGTTAACGAATTTGCAACAGCTTCAATTATAAAATAGTGCATTTTTACACGTATAGTTTTATAATTTGAACACGTTTAATAATTTTCATATTAAATTGATCGTTAAAAAAACTCTTCTTGACATTTTACGACCAATCAGCTAGACAACATTTCAATTACACACAACAGATATTTCCCGAGTTGACATTTGAAAAAGTGTGTTCTTCTTGCATTATTGGTTGATGTTATTTTGGTTGTATTTTTTTGCGCTGAATACACTCTATTTGTTTTGGTTATAATAACTGTATTGTTGGACAATTCCTTTTGAAATTTCAAAGATTTTACGTTCAAGGAACTTACAAAATTCCAATTTAATTTCCACGTTCCGCGAGCGAGTGTATTTCCAGTCTGACAGTACTTTTCCCGCTCTGGTTGCTTTGGTTAAATTTCATAGGCTTTTTAAAGATGTTACTACCAATCAACTGATGAAGTTTCAATTTAAAAGATATTCCTTGAGTAATCGTCCCAACAATAAGAGTGCTTTCTTTCGATGAACATTGTTGTTTTTGCGATGATTTAACGAGCTCTCTATTGTTTCGGCAATTTCTCTTCCAATTTAGGCTTATTTTTTAAGATAGGACCAATCAACAAACACAATTTCTACTGAATTTCATTTAAATACATTTTTTGCATTCAACACACTCCACTCTGTTTTATTAACCTCATTGCTAGAAAAACTACAGGTTGAAAATCAAATCATTGCATTCCCTGTAACTGTACATGTGAAGTTAAGATACCAATAAGGCCACAGAGCTATATTAAATTATCAGAGAACATATATTCATAATCACATACAGTGTGAGGCTTGCTGGGCACACACAGTCATGTTTTACATAACTCCCGAGGACAAGCCATTGTCTTTTCCTTTGTCCCTGTAATATAACGCTCTCCTGCAAACTTAGCACATAAATGCATGATTGATGACTCTTTTCAACTTGAACAAAAGATGAATGCTCAAGGACAACATGCGCTCTCAAAATTTAGTACAGCTCTATGGAATTGAAATTTAACTCTTATCTACTGATACGACCGAAACATAAACAAAACATCCTCAACTGACAGTTACTGCAGCTTGGTTAAAATCACCTTCAAATTTGTAATACGACTATACATGGCGAGTCTAAAAGAAAGTGACCTGGATTAATTATTTTTTCCCTGAAAAAGCAATGAAATTTGACACAAGTACCATGCAATGAAGAATACATTAATGAGCAAGTTCTTCCTCTCACAAAAAAAATAACGGCGTTGCTGTTGAAACCCCTTAGCCAGAGTCAAGTTATCATCTGGAAACCATTTACTTTCACCACTGTGACCTTGACCTTTGACCTTTTGACCCCAAACCGATCCCAACTTGACTGTACCCAAGGGCAACCCCCTACCAAAGTTAGACACCAAAATCTCATCTAGTTATCATCTGGAAACCATTCACCTTTAACTCACCATGGTGACCTTGACCTTTCACCTTTTGACCCCAAAACATCAACGCATATTGGTGTCATGAGCAGGCCTAGTGGTGGTTAATAACTTATGATTCGAGTATGTAAACTGCATTAAGTTTTCACAGTAAAATGTACTTTATTCCTATGTTATTTTTATTAAATAAAGCGAGCTACATATATCATTCAATATTTTATTTTAACTTGGTAACTTACTTTTTGACTCACCCTGTATATAGCCTGTCCATTTTTTCACATACAAAATAAAGGTAAAAAAAAAACCAGCAAACTTTTTCTCAAAATAAATTATTTCTAAACACAGCATTTTCCTGAGCACAACAAGAATGAAGCTAACAACTAAACAGTTTCCAATCATGTTCAATTTCACAAAATTGATACAATTTTTTTTCCAAGATTAAATTGACCTATCTCCATTTGCAAGTTAGCCATGCCCCTTATACAACCTATGGAATTTTTGCACACTAAGTTTTGTACGTCTCAGATTTTGCGTGTTCTGCGTCCATTTGTATATCATGTAATTGGACAAAATTTGACAAATTGCATTGACGCGATTCTACTGCGATAGGTCAATTATTTCGTTTTGTTTTTGCATGGTCACCATTTTTTGGCAGGTTATGCTGTGTTCCAATCGTATCGTGTTTATTGTGCTCACCGTGAATTACTCCTAGTTCACGAGTGGGTTGCATTCTAATGCTAATCACCAACACACATGCGCACAGGTCTTCACGTACATTGCGCAGGCTATTTTTTCAAAGTCATGAATAGACTGTTTCCCAGCCCCCCCCCCCTAAAAATGTGGGTCTGAAGGACAATGGGGTCAGGGAACCAGACTACGTCATGAACTTGAGGTGAAAATTTCGCCTCCAGTTCACCACTGGTGAATTCAAGTTACCAGGCGATAAGAACGCTATAATACGACTGAACTCGTGAACACGATAAACACGACGCGATTGGAATGCAGCATTAGGCAACAAACCAGATAGCATTATAGCGCCCTCTATGGGTGCTGCACATCTTAGAAAACTTAATTAACTTAACTATCTGTGGAGTATGCTGCAGTTGTGACAAACAGCGCCCTCTGTGGATACGGATGGAAAGGTGTCCTCATGTCACATGACTGACTGGCGCCATGCTTCCCACACCTGGGAAAATAGACGACAAAACTGTAATTTATTAACGGTATCAAATTTATCAGGAACAGGTTAAAATGACATTTTGTTGGTGACTGAGGGTAAAGTGCTGATCCCAACTACACGCAATGATGTTGTGCACATTTTATTTTAGAACATGTAGTTCATGTTAACAAACATTATTAGGAACCCCTCTATACAAATTTTTAAAAATGACATTCATGGGAATATGTAACTCTGTTGTTTCTGAATCAATACATCTGTTTCTCCGAAAATCTTTTTAGTTTTCTGAGAAATCACTTAGGCCTTTAACATTTTATCAACTTCAAAAATTGGGCATTCACTGCATCAGGAATACTTAGATTAATGAAATATTTTCCAGTGAATATTCCAGGAAATTATCTTCATAAACAATTAATGACAGATTTTAAGACTGTCTCCAAATTGCTACTGCTAGCAATAATGCGCCTATTGGTATATGAAAGCGGCCGATGGACATGTAACTGACGACCATGCGTTCTGGTAAAATGAGACAGAACTGGGCAGAGGTCGAAATGAGGATTTGCGGGTATTAGGAAAGACACTAAAATCTTCCTTTATACAAAACTGTTTGTTGCACTTCAATCGGACATTCCATTGACAAGTTATGGCTGTTTAAAGTTTGCATTTATCGACATGTCCAAAAAGGTAAAATACTGAGAAAAAGGCCTGTAAAGTTTCGAGTGTTGTATTCGTGAGAAAGAAAGACAGATTTTTTTTACCCCTTAGAAACTCTTTTATTCCATGATATTTTTACTATTACTTTAAAATATGTGTAGTAGACATTTCAAAGAATATCAATAAATCTAAAAATCAAATAAAAAAAATCATCTCCACTCATTTTTTTAAAATTTATTTTGTCTGCACTAGTGCCTGTGCCAAGTTCCCTCTCATTTTACCAGATGCCTCCCATATATAGCCAGAAAATATTGACTACGACTTCAGCCTTGAGACAGGACGCACCTTTGGATTGGTGACTTGAAGTTGCATGGTGGCTACAGGGTGCCAGACCGTTCCTGCCATTCCATGAGCTGTCACCCCTCCCCCATCTCCCATGGCCATGTTATGATGCATGCCAGACATTGGCTCATGTTTCTCACCAAACCGGCTGACAGGTGTCTGTAGGAAATAACCAGGGCAATAAAGTTAGAGCTCGCAAGCATGATGACATTTCAGTATTGTCTTGAGATTCACAAGGTACATCTTGATGAGGTTTTGATTTCCCTATTTGATTTTCTCAATGATCGCTGTTCAGTTTTTGCTGGTCCCAGAGGGCCAGCCTACAGTCCTCTTTGTACCTCACGGATCGATTCACTGTCACTTGTGAGCTGGGCAGTGCTGTTGTATAGGATTACCTGTAACACCAATGAATGGGCTAAATCAATTGCATAGGACTATGTGTACTCTGGAACAAACTTTAATTGCTTTGTGTTCTTAGCTGTTTTCAGTCCAGAATTCATGCTGATTGAGTGTAGTGGGGGTGGTGGAGGGGTGAGATGCTTACTTGTTCATTTGGAAGCCATCCTCTCTTGACAGTGTCTTGATGGGGGAAGTTAGGCATCCTGTTAGCTGCTGTGCCTGGTATGTCCTCTAAGTTGCTACTTGGGATCCAGTCACCGCTGCTCCCTTTGGGAAATATTCAGAAGAAACCAAAAAAAAAAAAATTTAATGTCCAAAGGTAAGTATTCTCTTGAATGGATGACAACTAATATATTTCTGTTCGCCTGTCCTGTATGTCCATTGGGTACAAAAATCACAGAACCAAATTACGTTCATGACCTCAACTTGGATGTTATCGTATTTTTCTGAGTTGGTTTTATATCATTTTTAAGCTCTGGCAGGAGTTTCTTCATGTCCCTCAGTGGTCGGTCGGTTGGTCAGATGGTCTGTCTGTCTGTCCCTGAAAATTGACCAAATATATGGTGTTCCATGTGTGCCATCAGCGTCACATTTTTCGGCATCGCATTTTCCAGCTCTGGCAGGGATCATTTTGATCGATTTTATGCAAGACTTTCATGAAAGACTTCTTGCAACACGGCCAGAGCTTATTGTGCACTCGGACTTGTTCAATCAACAAGGGCTTTTAGGTAAGTTCTTTGAAAATTTTTACATGCTGAGCAAAAAATGGGAATATTTTACACTTCTTAAATCTTGATGCTCCAGATGTGGTCAGTTTTAATGAATCTACGAAAGTTATGATAAATTAGAACTGAGCTTACCTTGTGTATAAGCCCAGATGCTACTCCCTGGTGAACCAACAGGGTAACCCAGACTACTGACAGGTACAACAAAGCTGACAGGTGTCTTGCTTTGCCCTTGACTACGCTCAATCCTGATGGGATTTTGTAAGCGGGATCTCGACCAATGGCTGCTGGAGGCGGAGCTTGAGGCTAGTGAGTTGCCATGGTGACCATGGCAACGGTTTGGCTGTTGGTGACAACGGACCAGAAATGGATATAAAATTACAATTTTGGTTACTTAAAGTGAATATAGAAAGTACCTTTTTAGCAGACATGGTGAGGGGAAATGTGCAACTTTTGGGAAACGTGAATTTTTGTGAAAACTTATTAAAAGTTGAATGAAACTTTTTTTTTATAGCTTAATCGTCCTTTTTATACAACTCAGCAGAAAGTCCTTAATGCCTGGTGAACTGGATTAAAAATCAACACTTTTAGGAGTTTTGGTAGCGCAAAAAAAAAAAAAATTTATGCTATTTTGCGATAATCGATAATTGCAGCAATATACCTAGGCCCATAAATGTGGCCAATTTACCAAACAAAGTAAATAAGGGCCACACTGAGAACATGTACCCAAAATTGTACAACTGTATCAAGTTTTGGTTTTCGTATTTAGACTTTGTTTGTAGTTTATTTACTATTTAGAAGCACACTCACCCTCTTTAAAGCAATGAAAAAGAAATCCCTCCTTGCTCAGACGTCTATTTTTCGTGTAATTTCCAGGTTCATTTGCACACGTATGCATATCTAAAATTCCAATACAAAATTACACAAAAAGAAGTACGCTACAGCACCAGGCTATCCCCTTTGCTTGGTGGACAGGAGCAGGGATCGGACACCATCAAGGCAGCAAACTACCAAACAAACCAGCCTGACGCAGGAGAGCTGGCACGACACGTCACAATATCATTACTTTAATAAGTTCCTTGTCAATTTTCAAGAGGCCACACACAAAACCCTATCAGCAGCCAGTTAAGGCAGGTGCGTGTTAACATCTTCAGTGCATGTTGAATATATGAATATTCGATCCAGTCCAAGTTGGCATAATCGAATACTCAATTCTTTTCGAAAATGAACAGCTCTAGAATCCATACCCGATCCTGCAACAAATATCTGATTCAATTCGGGCGATTCACAATGCAGTGCGCCACCAAGATTTTGCCATGGAGAGTCCATTTTTCAAGTTTACGGTCGACAAAACAGACAACTTGAGCTAATTTTGTTATAGATTGGGGCATAGCGTTCTGCCGCCTTACAAAAAAACACCATATTGATTAAAAGAATAAAAGGGCAAACATATATTCGAATCATACGCTTACAAAACTACTGACCGAAAAAAAACTAACAATTTCAAATGTCCCGTGCTGCGAATTTGTCGACCATCTCCCACATTGCACAGGGAAAAATTAACTCTCCGTGGCAAACTCTTGGTGGCGCACTGAATTGTGAATTGCCTGAATTGGGCCTAATGTGGATTTAGAAATTAACCATGATTTATTATTAATTATTTCTGATAATGAAACCAAGGATTCCTCAAAAGTGCCCCAGGCACTGTAGCTCGCAAGCCTGAAGAAACCTGTAGAGAGAAGACAATGAGAAGGAGTTACAAATTTAGAGGTAGAAGGAAACCCAGAAGAATAATCTGGAGGAAAAAAAAACGGAATCAGGAAGGGACTGAAAACCCAATCCACATATTGGCCCAGGCAGGAATCGAACCCGGGCCACGACATGGAAGCGAGGAAAGTACCGCTACGCAAACCTGACTCCCCTGAACTGTTCAGATGGAAACGCAAAAAATAACTCCAGAAGAATATTCTTAGCTTGCATTTTTTGTTAAATCTAATTGATAGTATTTAATTAATATTCAGTGCATCTCATTAATACCACAAACATGTACATGTACACTTGGCTTAACTTACTGAATGACACAATCCCAAAACCAATTTTTTAAGAAGAGATCTGACTAAAAGAAAAAAAAAACAGCTTATAAACAAAACAAAATATTTCTTTAAAATACGAAGATAAAACCTAATTACATGTTACTTTGTAACTCACTAGTATTTTTTCCCCATCTTTTGTAAACACAGCTTTACTTAGAAATCTGAGGTTTAAACCGGTGGTGTATTCGAATGCCTTTTTTTAATACAATCTTAATAAAGCAGTTTTAGTTGAATATTCTGCAGCAATTGTTTGTAGTACCAAGAAGCTAAAATATCTCTCAACTAATGACTACCTTCTGAGACAGAAATGTCAATAACATTCAGGCTTTTCACACTGTCCGAAATCTCTGTGTCGGACCCAGGTCCGAAACAGATTTAATGAACCCCTTTCAAACGAGCAAGAATTAGACGAGGCTTCAGCACGGGTCCGGCACTCTACAGGGTGAGTAAAAAAAAACGAAACCCAATTGTCGGGACTATTGTTTTAGTGAAGTTCTGCATGTAGCACTTTCAAAATCTAGGATATGAAAGCCCAATTCATGAGCTTTCTTTTAGTACAAGAATCATTCAAATCACTCATGTACTTATCAAGTTACAGAATTTTAAACACAACCACAGTTTTAAAGTTCTGTCCACAGGTAACAAAACAGGTGTGCGTTCTTTCAGCAACATAGAAACAATAAACACACATCCTTTTGTGATTTGTTTTCATTTTGCTGAAAGAACTCTTACCTTTTTGTGATCCGTGGACAGAACTTTAAAACGGTGGTTGTGTTTAAAATTCCGTAACTTGAAAAGTACATGAGTGATTTGAATGATTCTTGTACTGAAAGAAAGCTTATGAATTGGGCTTTCATATCCTAGATTTTGAAAGTGTTACATGCAGAACTTCACTAAAACAATGGTCCCGACATTTGGGTTTCGTTTTTTTTTTTACTCACCCTGTACACAGGTTTGAGAGGCTCCACAGCTGACCCGTGTACACATAAGTGTTAAAGTGAACAGTTCACCTTGCCTACCCATGTTCAACACAGGTAGGCAAGATGATAGTGTGAAAAGCCTATTGACATTTTAGAGTCCCCCCCAACAACAAAAAATCATCAAATTGTCAGGTCCTGTTTCTTTCCTATACCACTTGTATGTCTACCCTCCCCATTTCATATAAAAACAAACTGAAAAGAAACAACAAATCTACACAGATGCAGCAATCATATACAAGCATATAATGATTAAGGAGAATTAACAACTGCTTCGTCTACAGATTTATCTCCCAAAGATGAAAAAAAATTGGATTGATGTGGGTCAGTAAGTGGGTTGAAAACTTTAAACTCTTCTAGTTAGGTTGGTCAAACTTTCTTTTGATTGGTTATAAAAGTAAAAGAACATAAGAGCGATTCCAGCGTTATGTAATGTCCGTGATAGGCATTTAAGAGCTCAGGGGATAAACCTGAAAATGTATTTTACAAAATCGTATACATCCATCGTCTAGTAATGGTCAAGGAGATTACAGACTAGGAGTTTTGGATCATTTCTCTGAATCATTAATTAGATATCATGGTTAATTGGCTCTGCCACGTTATACTTCTTTTCTGACGCTAGAATTGCCCTTAAGTCTTTCTCAAGTAAAATTTGCAAACGGGAAGAAGTGAGCCTTTAGGTTAGTCCTACAAAAATGTTAGCAGATATGAAACTCAAAAAGGAGCGCAGTGTTGCGGGAATTAATCATGTTGTCGATTGGCCTTATTTGTGAGCGCAACACCATTAGGCCAAAAAAAAGGTTCCAGTCTCTGGTATGCGCGTGCGTCACCGTAGCCATGCGTGTCAGCAAAATTTTTTTTTTTAAATTTCAATGTAAGATGATGTCTCAAAACCACCAAACTCACTGGTTTGACTGGAATCCTGCTGCTGCACATTTTGAACGTGTTTTTATATTGGGTTACGATCGAGTATAAGCTTTATGTGGCCTCTCTGGGCTCCCGTATATTTTGCACTAAATTTAGTCGGGCACCATTTGCAGTCGTCAGCCATTTGAAGAAAAAAAAGTAAAAAAACAAAAAAGCCGCGTCGTCGCACCACTTTTGGGACAAGCTCCATACCAGAAACCGGAGACTTTTTTTTGCCTTAATATGAGGGTAAAACAGACATGAAATCGAAGGCCATTGCCGCCAATTTACACACTGCTTAAGCTCAAAAATTACATTTTTAAAATCGTTAATATGTAGATTCAAGTAAAGTTACTAACTTGGATTATTAATTTGCTAAAAATGTGGCCCATTGATCAGTCCAAGTGACAACAATTTATCAAAACATAAATGCTGCTGGGGGTGTAAATGTACCCTTTCCCCACAATGTTCTGTAACGTTAAGTAATTTCTTGGGTGATAAACCTGTAGACAAGACCCAATACACAATTTTACACAATTTCGCTATTCATATTAAACCTACTACTAACTTCCAGCCGATAATGCAAGGTTTTATACAAAATGTTCATAAAATGTACACCTTCAATTGTTACAGACAAATTCCTGCGCGACAATTGCTCTGTCGGACGTTCAGAAACACAACACATTTACATGAATTACATCGACTCCCGAAAAATGTAACGAATGTCCCTACATTTTTACTCTAAACATACAATTTATCACTTGATCTGTTCTCATTAAACAAGTCAACAAAAACTACTGAAAACGGACAAATTCAATTTTTTTTTTCTGTTTCACATTTTTGACGTGTACAACACAGAAAGACAATAAATATTAATAAAATATTTTAACGTGCGGCACATGGATTTGTTCTGAATAAAAACACGAGTTTTAAAAAATGATAACGTATGTGTGAAGAATTTCGTTACGTGCTTTGTGAAATGGTATATTTAGCTCGGTACCTCCCCCATTGCCAACTTAGACTCCGCCCCTCCACTGTGCCCTTTTTCTCAGACAATTAAGAATACCTGCATACTGTAACAAACCTCATAATAATGTTCCTCAAAATGCTTAAACAAGCGAAACGCTGTCAAGTTGATGCATTAAAACTGTGCATGATCCTCATGAAAAGCGACAAGATTCAACTACCGATAAATTGTGCCAAGACTAAATTATACAGAATTTTAAAACCAATATTGATTGTTTGATCTGCTTAATTTCATGCGTGTAACCGAGCGTGACTTTTCTTGTGTAGTACAAACAGTACAAGACTTTCCCCAATGTACAATATTGTAGCCTCACGGTATTTCACTAAAGGACAATCCACAAAGATTAAACATGAAAAAAATACTCTTCAAAACATACACTACAACTAAAAGTCGACATTTTGTGCCTTGTGGGTTACATAACCACTGCCTACACACCATAGTTAACGTTTAAAAAAATATCTTACAATTTTTTTTTTAACTTTACAAATTTCCATGAATACAAACATAATGCAGAGGTTGTGGTTGAATTTGCACATCTACAATGTGCAACATTCACAACTACATGCTGTGTCCACTTAAAAATCCACCATTTTGTTTTTGTAATATTTATATTAAATTCATACATTTCCTTTCATGTAACAAACCCTTTCCAGCTATTTCAAGATACTCTCTGATATCTTTCACAATTTTTCGTACTTTTCAAACTTCTCCCGTACCGTGTGCAGTGAAAAAAACAACGAAAACTTGCTTCCACTCATTTTTACTCATTTCAATAAAAAACTACTCAGAATAAGTTCCACTAAAAAAAACAATTACTGGAAGTATTTGTACTTCATCTAATAAACCTTCAAGAAATATGAATTATTTCAATAGATCCATTACATTATTAAAACAAAAAAAAATCTTATAAAAAACACGCTATTACTAAATTGTTTTCAGTGTTCCCAAAACCATAAAAAAACACTATATTTTACACTATCGTCAACAACAAAAGATCATTTCTTTTAGCTGAGTTGAGCCAATCAAAGACTCAATGTGAGTTATCATAGCATTCAGCGAGTCTCAGATCACGTGACTGATCATGTGACACAAATCAGGTGACTCATCAGGTGACTGCTCCATGCACACTAACTGGATATCCCTATAAAATAGGATACATTTTGGCACTTTCTTGCGGAGGAATTTGTATTTTTAGGTTCTCCTTTTCCAATTTAATTGTGCGATTCAATAAATGTAAGTATACTGAAAGAAATTTTTAGCTTGGTGTTACATTTTTTTTCAACTCTTCAAAATTTTCCACAAAGGAATGAAGATGAAACCTGAATGTTTGGAAAAGAAAACTAAGAGCTGATTTCACGAAACTTTACGCAGTGGTGCAACTCCACTTGCGCCAAAATTTCATGCACAACTTACATCTCACACTGCGCAACATTTCAGCTACGACACATTTCGCCCAAGTTACATAGTGCGTAAGTCCGCGACTTGCGCAACAAATTATGGTGTAACTTGCGCAATCATTTTAGGTGGTATAAGTTGCGGCGTAGCGACTGAAAATGAACTATTTTACTAGCAAATCGTGATCATTGTGGAGCCTGTTATTGCACAACTTATCAAGGTTGATACAAGACACTCATTGCTTTGTGTTTGAGGTACATTAATTGCTATTTTACTTGTGACAGAACTTTTAGAGTTGTTGCACGATTCCAAAGAAAGTCGGGCAAATGATTTGCAAAATGGCAGTCAGAAGTGATTTGACTGTTTCTTGACCGAGCAAAATCATACACAAATGGCCGTCGAAAATGCTGTTATTATCCATGTCCAAGACGTTTAGATTATTTAAAACGTTGCGCAGCTACGCCAAGTGTCGTGAAATTGATCGTAAGTTCGTTGCGCAGCCGTACAACAATTTTGTTGCATTAATCCTATGCATGTTGTAAGTCGCTCACTGTTTCGTGAAATCAGCTGCAGAGCAAGCTAGCCGATCCAAATGAGATTTCTAGACAACTTGTGACAAATAAATGCTCTCGTTACGTGACAATGAATCTGTGCACAGAGCGATCATTCATAACAAGCCCACAGAGTTGTTGGATTAAGTACATACTCCATTCTACGTTGTACAGTTTCTTGTTAATGCGAGATACTTACTTAATATGTACATCGACTACTTGGCATTTGTTTTTAAAACGTTGCTTCCCTCAGGCCGAATGAGGTGCAGCTCAATATATAGTCAAACCAAACTCCAAAAAAGGTGGATCAATCATTTTCTGCGCTTGAAATTACAAGTCGATCGATGCAGATGGTCAATTTCTTGGCTTAATCTGTGAGGAGAAATGGACACTCTGACAGAGTTTTCTTCCGCCCAGATATGTTAAATCTCACAGTTAATGATGTTCTTTAGTTTGGTGCACAAATCTTGCACTTTGGTCGAGTTCTTTCTATTTCAATACTGGCAGAAAGTTGTCCAATAAGTCTCGTGAAATTATAATAACTTTGTGAAAACATCCAGGGCCTTTGGGAGGAGTAAAAACTCCCGGTAAGAGTTTCATATTTGTGTCCGTCACATCTTTGAAGGATGCTTTTCAAGCCTGTATGACGTGGGACACATTAGGAGCGGATACTGGCAGTGGAAAATACGGCATTCTGGAATCCACGATGTGACTGGGGGATTGGAACGCGGGGGAGCTGGACGTGAACGTGGGACTCTCCGTGGAGAATACCGCCGGGCCGCGATTCATGTAACCTAACGATGTCGGCATGGGAATATGCAAATTTAATGGATGACTGCCCACGGCCGGGCTAGTGGCCGTGTGCGCCGGGAAACCGTGAGGTTGGGTGCCCGGTTTGGCATCAGTGGTCTGGCTTTGGACCCCACACCGCGGCGGTAATGTGAGCGGCTGCAGGACAGAGTCTGGCGCCTGGAGATGCATCAGCATTGGTACAAGGTGGCTGGTGGTCTCTGCTGCTGAATAGTCATTCATATTCATGACTGGCTGATGCATATTCATAGTGGGGGCGGGGTCAGGGTTAGACTTCTTCTTACTCTTCTTGTGTTTCTTGTGGTGCGTGAGGTTGCTGCCGGCGGACGAGTTGCTCTGTTTGTTTGAATCAACGATGGGGAGGTTAGCTAGTCCGTTATTAGCAAGCTGAGGATGTTGAGGGTGCTTATCCATATGCTTCTGTAGGTAGACCTCTAAGCTATACGTCTTGCCGCACACCCCGCAGGAGAACCGCTTCTCGCGACGGGTGTTCTCGTGAGACAGCACGTGATTCTGCAGCTTTTCGAGCTCGTCGTAGGCGCGGTAGCAGTCGCGGCATTTGTAGGGTTTATCCTTGTTGTGTCGCCTCCAGTGCTGCTGAAGATTGGACAACTGGCTGAACGCCTTGTCACAGCCGGCGTCGAAACACTTGTAGGGCTTCATGCCGGTGTGGATGCGCGTGTGCTGCTGCAGATGCGACAACTGCTTGAAGGATTTGTCGCAGTAGGTGCAATTGTAGGGCTTGTGGTTGGTGTGCACCCGTGAGTGCTGGCTTAGATATGACGTGGTCGCGAACCCCTTCCCGCAATCCTCACACTTATAAGGTTTGCCTTCGGTGTGAGACCGCGCGTGCAGCAACACATCGGACTTACTGTAGTAGACCTGCGGGCAGATCTTACAGTGGTACTCCTGCCCGCCCTGCTCGGCTTCCAGGAACGAGCGCGGACTCGTGACTTTCTCGGCTTTGTGGCCGCCCTTACCTCGCGGTGAGGAGGACGTGGTATTACCTGAATGATTGGGGAGTCCGTTGCTGCCGACGGGCGCCGGTCTGCTCGCCGCTTGATTGACAACAGGTGTCGGCTGCACGGTATTCCTGGTGTACAGGGCAGCGGCCTGCTGTTGGCTGGTAGACGGCGACATGGTAACACAGCCGGCTATCTCGTGGGCAACATGGCTTGCAATGGACGCAAATCTTGCACAGCACTTGTTACACTCATACCCTTTTGATGCAAATAAAGAAATACATTAATCCAAAATATTCTGAATATATGAACAAAATTACATGTCTATATGCACATAGATTGGTTTGAGTACATGAATATTCTGCATTACAAAATGAATTGAATTGGACAATTTCCTTGCCTATGAATATTCAGGTAAAGGATTCACTTTGTTAGCCAATAGGAGAGCGCTTTTCATTTGCCAGGTCTATTCTGGGTCAGCTTTTGTAAACAGCAATCTGATTAGTCAGAAATTAGTCAGAACAGAACGTTCCATGGATCACCTCGGGAGGCTAGTTTTACTACACCAATATTTGTATACTATTTCACAGATGAAGACATAAAACCTATAATCTTTGAATAAATGCAAAGAAATGAATAAGTTGTTTACCTGTTGTTGGTGGTTTTCCGGGGGTTAGCGGTGGCCTTGGATCCATGCCAGGAACCTGTGTGGAAAAATGATGATTACGCTACCGTAACATCGTAAAACATGAAAAATGTGTTAAGCAAACTTTTTGTAATATTCAACATGAAAAATGAACTTAGAAAACTATTAATTCACGTACAAATACTTTTGTTGGTAATGGTGCACAAATATGAGCAAATCCACAGATATATAAACCTCAACGTAAAACACTTCACAAAAATCAAAATGCCACAAACAAAACATGTTTATTATCATTTTGCAGCTTATTATCTGTATGTTATTAAGGGAATAACAGTGTGAGGATCCGGTATTCACTGTGTGATAATGACCAGCTTTGGGGGTGACCGCTGTTAATGGACCGAGACGAACCGGTCACCCCCAAACCTGGTCATTATCACGCAGAGAAGACCGGATCCTCACAGTTATTCCCATTAATAAATACCTTTTTAATGAAATAAACATTTAAAATGCTCCAATTTTGTGACTTTTCTTTTGGCGATATTGTTTACAAAAAAAAAATCACAGATCGGTTCACGCTTTTGTTGTAAACATCCTCAGTACTGCAGCGCAAACAGGTCATTTGAAAACTTCCTTACGCGCGCACCCAAACCTAGCAACTGCGTCTAGCACAATCATGGTTGAGCGCATGTGTACTGCTGTTTTGTTACAAGCTACCGTAGGACTGTTGTTAATTTGGCCAATCATTTCGCTTACATGATGCTGGATCAATGCTGGTTCAGGGGCCATTTATTTGCTTGTTCTTTGAAGTTGGTCTTTATATCACCGTTAATACACCCCCAAATGATTGAATCTCGACCAATCAGAAGCCATCATCTCTCCAAGGTATTTATTAATGAAGTATAGGTCATTTCTAAACATGTTCAACAGTCAAGCTGTTACTTTTAACTAACAAAATAAATTAATAATTACACAAAAAAATATATTTGAGTACGTCTAAAACCATGGTGTTTCGAGTCGATTTCTACTACAGCAAAAAGGTTGGATTAATATTTTGTTTCTTTTTTCATTGTAGTAACTAACTGATACATTTTATCAGAATTAAAATCAACTTTATGAATGTAATTTTTCTTTTATGCCCACTATCCACTCCATTCACCAGGCATGCAACAAGGATTTAGGAAAAATTGAGGAAACTCCAAAGCACACAAGACTTTGTACAGTGTTTTTCAATTTGTAATGGCATTCCTGAGAAGTGAAAACCGGGGAAATCAGTGGATCCGAGGAAAAGTTGCAGGCCTGGTTCACAAGTACCCCCTCACTGGCAAAGAAAGTACAGTTGGGGATGACCGAACGACGCCATCTTGCCCGACTGTAATATTTTGGCGCAGAGCGCTGCAACTGCGTGTACATAGTACAAATCCCCTGGTGTACGTGCGTCACACACAAGGAACGGTGCGCGCGCATCAACCAGCGAAATGCATGTGTCCCGCCCATGGGACGTCGTTGCTAGGTAAAAAGGCGCCCTCTTTTGTTGGCGCACAGAGCCCATTGACTTGTCCAAAAATGTACATGTACCTCCGAAACTGTGCTACAGAACTGACCATACGCATAAAAATACATGGTCCACATTTTAAATTGTATTGACCAATTATCAAAAGAACAGTGATTGGATGAATGCATTCATTTTAGATTGTGATTGGTCAATGAATGAAAGACTACGCTATTTGTAAGCAGATTGACCAATGAGAATTTCTGTATCAGAACGACTCTCACCTGTAACTGTTCAACTTCTGCCTGCCAAAAAGTCACATGACTCGGCGGAGGTGAAAATGGCGGCCTCTGCAGACTCATGATGTCGTTCACACTGTACGTGGTTGGTTACCGGTTACATGCACTGGTATCCTGCCCTCTTCAAAGGGGGTTGGGTTGTTCGCCTCTAAAATCAGCTAGACATTGATAAACAGAATGCACAATACCTTCGCATTTGGATCTTTCATGAAAGATGAATTTCTACATTTTTAGCTGCGGGGTAGCAGCTCAACAAATCGTCATATCTCTCCGTTAGTCCGTTAGTTAGTTAGTTAGTAACAAACGTTGACATTGTCTATTGCTCCTACATATTTTGACCAATTTCAACCAAACTTTGTCAAAATTATCAGTAGCCAGCCCAAACATGTCACATGATCAAACTGGGGTCAAAGGCCATCATGGGGTCACTGGAGTCAAAAATGTGATGATTTTTTTATATTTTTTACTCAAAACATTACTCCTTCCAGAAATTACATGGCATGTTAAAGCCCTTGACAGTACATACTTAGGCCTACTGCAAAACACTTCAGTGGCCCATAATATCAACACAGCAAACACATTTTAACTGGCAGGCTTTGCGTACAACTTTTGCAAACAACTTAAGTGTGTCATGACGGTAAAAGAAAATGGCACGGCAAAAATCATCTGCAGCGGATACGCACACGCGTTTGCGCTGTTACTTGTTTTTCGCAGAGCAACATGAAACGCTCATTTACTGGTTGCGCGTTTTGCTTTTGGGCGTATCAGCTTCGATAACGCACCTGTATAGAATACAAACGCAGATATATGCAAATAGCCCTACAAAAGCCGTACAAAATTTCGAGTGTTCCATAGGCACACTGCACAAACATGGATGCCCCCAGCAGGCATCACTTTGTACATCGAGTCAGCGCTCTAGTAATTTGATATAGCTTTATGGACGATCCCAACCGTAGTTATGATTGTATAGTTGGGACGATACCATAGTTGAGGCGTAACAGACACAAAACAACAACTCAGTGGAACGATGTCTGCTATAAACTAATAGCCTTTAATCGGTCCACTTTACAAACTTACGACAAATACAAATGGTATTTACTACTCTCGAGGTTCGAAGGTTACTCACCTAGTGAATCATCGGTACATGTCTCTAAGCTGCAAACGGAAACGCCTCTTTCGACAACCCAACTGAGTACAGTTGTCTGCTATAGCCAAGGTATGTATAATAAGCAGTCGGTTTAGGATTGGCAAGGTTTCTGAAACAAAACAGGGCGAAAATATTCCAATTATTTACTTCACTAGCTTGGAAAGCCCAGCTCTAGGTTCATGACTTGGGAGATTCGCCTGGGATTTAACATGTAGGTGCTAGCTTTTAACATTTTCCAGAAAAAATTGCCCCAAAATATACGGCCTAAACTACAAAATACGCAACTTCACAGATCCAGTACAGATCGAAAACTAAGATGATGGTATAAAGGTTAACTTACTATTTGGATACAAGGTGACATTTTCCGTTCTTTTCCGAGAACTCTACGATATATTTGAATGGCAAGGCATTGATGTCGTCGTGATCGTGTCCAGCGCTAGCGCGCAGTGATGTGAACGAAACCGTAATTTGATTGTAGATTGACAGCTGCTTTTGAGATCGAGTGCGGCAAAATCGTTGTCACGTGATGCATATCCTACACCGGTTCCCTTCATTATCAGTACGATCAGAATTTCAAAAGCGAAAACCAGTTCAAGTATACCCTAGTTCCCGACTCCCCATTATCGTTTGAAATGTACTTGTGTTTACAAACGAGAACCAGTCTATACATTATCATAATCGATGAATCACGCACGGTAACGAAATCGCACTTGATCTGGAGAGACTCTCTCTCTATCCGCAAACTTTTAAGGCAACGCGGGGAACGACCTCAATATGTCACTGCCTTGCAATTCAAATGTATCAAGAGTTTCACGTGTCCACGAACGCGAGGGGAACTCTCAAAAAAGCCCAGGAAATTTCACCTTCCATCCGAATTCTTAGTCAACCTTACATCTTGCCATCTTAATTTTCGATCTGTACTGGATTCGTTAGTGGCGTATTTGGTAGTTTGGGCCACATTGGGGTAAGTTTTGGGACAATTTTTTTTCGGAAAATGTTAAAACCTTGTACCTACATTTAGAAGTTAAAATCACAGCTCTAATGGCAAATCTCCCATGCCATGAGCCTAGAGCTTTCTAAGTTATTACATTACCATACCAGAAAAAGAAAATACAAATTGGAATAACTGAGCATGAAAGTTTGTTTCTCTAGGACTTCATAATTGATATAAATACATTGTATACATCGATGGCAATTATATACTATGGACATGTGCAAATGAGATAATCCTGAAAACTGATTTTTTTTTTTCGCAACATGTAAATTATTATCAATAATACAATGTTTAAAAATATTCTCGCCATTCATAAACAATCAAATGTGAACGTCTTTTTGCCATTTCTGTTTAAAAAGGTTGTTTCGTCACATTAAAATCAAAAGCAATTTGACTTGACATATTAATTAAACCTTGTCAGGAGTCTGTATTGTTCCAAATCACCAGAAACAATGCTATATATTTTCACCTTTGAATTGGCAACATGAATTTCCCCGAATATACAAAATGTTAAAACTTTAAATAGGCCTACTCCAAAGCACTGCAGATTTCAAATTCCACTAATATTAATTTCTCTATTTAACACAAATTCATGACAATTTTTAGTAGCCTAACGCATAACGAGTTTCTTTCAGTCATGTTCAATCAGGCAATCATAACCTGATAACATGAATTCTTACTACAATTTCATCCATAAACATTGCTATCACTCAAAACTGGACTGATCACAAGCATGACAAGTGAACGCATTACGCATTTCATTTATCATGTTTATTCCAGTAATCAAAACGGAGCCCTAAATTTTCACATTCAGCATGGTCGGCAATATTGTCATATTGAACATGTTGAAATGAAAATCCCCTTTTTTGCACAATAACTGAAGACCTATGGCTCACAAAGTCACTGATCTACAATCAAAATAATTTTTTGTGGCAATTTCATGACACGAGAAGTCCATGCAAATGTGCATTGACATATGCATCCATTCCAATACGTGCCATTGAATGCCGTTACATGCAATTGTAACCCTTTTCTTGCAAAATCCGATTTTCATATTTCGATCGGACTCATTTGTGCACGGATTTTGAGGCAAAATGTGGCCCATCTCCCGCCTTTTGTGCCACATCACATGTCCTGAATAAAACACTGAATACACTGTCCGGTAATTACGACAAGAAATTGGAAATTATAGGGTTTTTCGACGCCCATTCCTGAGGGTCTTTTGTGAATACTCACCCGAATCCTCGACTGTCATGGCCGGCCAGCTTTCTTATGAACAGCGCCCTCATTTGACTGAATTATAAGGTCATTGACATCTCATAAATCAGCCGCTCGCGATTTTTTTCCCCGTAGGACTAGGCTAGGGGGTGAAGCAGTCATGAATAATTCAGTAGTTTCGATGGGAAAATTATGTTTATTCATTAGAGAAGGACAATCTGTCATCAGAGCGGTGTTATTATTTAGTCAAATAATAAGCATTTTAACGAACCACAGTTAAGTGTCCTGTGGATATATGAGATGAGCTACAGAACATTATTGAAAGATCCCTGGTTCGATTAATGCCATTTTTCAGCGACTATATTTTTCTGCTCCAAATTTATTGTTGGGATAATTTTGATTTTTAAAAGGAAAAGAGAACGAGAACCTTGCCTTGCAATGTCAATTAGCCTGTTTAATTGTGATATGGCAGACACATTAGGTGGGCGCTGTTTAATGTAGGTAACTCTTTGTACTAGGCCTACCCAAAAACCAAACAGCGCCCTCGTTTCAGAAAAGAAAATGGATGTGAAACGTTAAATTAAAAAAAAAATCCTTTTTTTAAGCTCTGGCAGGAGCTTCTACATGTCACTTGGTGGTCGGTCGGTCGGTCTGTCTGTCCCCAAAAATTGACCAAAATAAGCCCCCTAATTTGAGCAAAAATTATTTACCAAAAACGATTGACTATTGACCAAATTACCTTCGTCATAAAATACACTCCTGGTGACGGTTTTCAGAATACCGATTTTGTTTCGATTGATGCGCATTTATTTTGCATTTGTATGCCCCCCCAAAATTGACCAAAATAAGTCCAATAAGTTTCCCACAAAATACAACTACCAAACATTTATTTAAAAAAAACAAACAAAAAAAATCAATTAAATATTTAACCAACTTTGTAATAATTCGGGAAAATGTTCATGAAACGATTGTAAATGGAGGCAAAACATGTGCAGTAATGTTATAAAGTCAAGTGGTATGTATCAGAAATCGCTATAAATCTAGGTATACACCTAAAGTATGGTGTTCCAAATGTGCCATCAGCGTCGCTCTTTTTGGGTGTCTCATTTTTAAGCCCGGCAGGGATCATTTTGATAGATGTCCTGCAAGACTTTCAGGCAAGAGGCCAGAGCTTATTGTGCACTCGCACTTGTTTGTTAACAGCGCCTCCAAGCGTCCAATGACCCCGGTCCACAGTTTACGATTTTGCTACGGCAGGTGTTTACCCCCCCCCCCCCCGCACCCTTAGAAAAACCTTTTGGCAACGCCCAGTATTTAACCTGATGATATATATCGACTCATTTAATTAAACGAATTCACAAAGTGTACTTTTAATTTTTAAAAATAAACGACCAAGGGAATTATTTAGTTTGCCAGCTAGATAGAATAAAAATGAATCGGTGATATTTTCTTAAAAATAAGTGCCAGAAGTGGGGTAAGCTTATTTCTTTCCCCAAATTTTGAGCGGGGACATAAGGGGAAGGGTTTACTGGCGTTCAGCGGGGGCCGTTGCCCCCCCCCCCCCCCGCCCACTCCCTGGTATGCCAGTCATGTAGCGCGCTTATTTGAAGGCTGGCTGCGGCGTCGAACTTGAAGAACGAAACGCGTGCATCGAGCTACATTGGCGCGACATCACGCGGTAACCATGTAACCCACCACGCTACGACATTATAATCTGTCAAGTGTTGCGTTGAGGTACGAGGTACAACACCAAACCACATTTTTTTTGCTCCTGCTACAAACGGAAATTACATGTTGGATTTGAGTCCGTAAGAAGCACGACATGTTCTTCAGTGTCTGGTTGGGAGGTAATATCAATCTTTTTTATCAATATCTGGTGTAAAGCGCTGTTACTTTAGCCATTAAATTAGTAATTTCCTATGATGTTGTGGAATGTCGTTACAAAAGTTCAGTTTTCAGAAATTTAAATAAACTATATTTGAAATTCTTCTCGCTGAGTAGAGCGGTGGATGTAGAAATTGTCCGGGGGAGGGGTGGGTTGGGGTGGGGTGGGGGAGGGGGTTGTCCTCCAAAGAGGGCGGGAGACCCGAGAGCAGACAGAGTACATTGCCGTATAACCGCATAAGAATATTTTGGGGAGTTTTGGAGTACGTGAATGGAGGTTTTATATTTAGGGTATACATGTTTTACTTCTAGTTTATGCGAAGCTTTCAAAGTCAGGCTGTGTCAGCAGCGGCGAAGGGGGGGGGGGGGTACCCCACCGCTGGAATTATATTTTTCCCGGCTGAATCCATTTGGAATGCAATGAATAACCATAGCATTCTATAGTATCACCGTTAAACAGATTAAATTAAATTGAATGACACGAGAGTACTTCAGTTGTCATACAGGTTATGTTTTTACATAACACTGTGTGTTGTGCACTTTATAGCCATAAATTAACAGTGTTGTAAATGGTTAACATGAACTGGCCCGATATACAGAATTGCGACATGAAATATTATTAAGAAGGTCCCACATCAGTAATATTCATATATGTTTGTCTGGCCCAATATCGTCTCTAAAAATATAATCCATTGTTAATAACGTAAACAACGTGCTGGACCTCTCCTAATTATTTTTCTTAGTATGGTTTTTATTGAAAGAAAAAAATTGGGGCACTTCGGGGATGAAACTCGAAATAGCACGGGGAACAATACGGTATTATTGTTCCTATAGGCCTTTATCATGCTGCCACCATTTGCCGAATGATAATGTTTTTGTGTAAAAAGGAACCAGACTATTTTTCCTTCCAGCCTCGCTTTGGTTACGTTGATTTGAAGGGGGAAAAATCAAGATAGCTACAACATGATCATGGTCTATACCTTCAATTCCCGCTACTGGCATTGTTCACAATAAGAAAAAATATCAAAGTATGGCTTTGGTTTTTTTTTAATGAAAGCCATGCATTTTCCGTGTACTTATTACACAGGGCGATGAGGATTATTACACGTCGGATATTTTCGCCCTCTGCCATTAAGACAGCCCAAATGACGGACTAGGATTTTCTTCTTTCTTATTTACAAGATAAAGACAGAATAAAGACGGTTTCATATTTCTGCGGTCGTATCCTTCAAGACTGTTATTTTAGACAGGCTACAATAGCCAACCCGTTGGTCCTCGTCTGAGGGAAACCAAGACGCATTGTGTTTATAATTAGTTATCAAGCTCTTGTGACTTTATAGTCAGATATACGGTCAAGTTGCACAATACAAGCAAACAAGATACCATGCTGCAGATCAGCGGAGTTTATTAAAGTACATGTAGATTGTGAATTTATGCACGTAGAAATGTTTGCAATTACCTTCCGATACCTACCGATTTAACGAGAAAAACCTTGCTGAATTGAATATAGGACTGGTACCAAATACCCTGTGAAATTATTCCGCCTGAAATGGTATCATTTGGAAGAAAACAAACATTGAAGGTGGTGCTGCATATAGTTTTTGTACGTGCGTTATAGCAACGCAAATCCGTTACGAGACCCCCAAAAAATGTGCATAGGTTTTCTCTGAACTCAGCATCCACTGAGCTGGCATTTCAATAGGTTTTTCTTATGCATCCTTCTTGAGCAATTTCGTTGCTTCAAACGGAAAAAAAAATCACAAAAAGCAAATAATCGTACGTTATCTTTAAACACCGAATTTCAACTGCGGCACCTTTAAATAAATAATAATCACTGTTCTTAGTTCCGAGCAGTTCAAGAACAACACAATCTGGCCTCTATACCCTCACAGGTCGAAAGGAGGAACTTGTAGTAAATTGTCTTGCCCAAGAACACAAGCAACCACCCGTCTGAATTCGAACCCACGGTACCATCGCCCTTGGGTAGAACACATCAACCATTTGACCAGGAGCTCCACAAAAAACAGAGGGACCATTAGAATTGGTGTGGGTAGCGGAGGAAACATGCGGTTCGGAGAAAAAATGCTTCATTTTCCCACGTATTTACTTCACTTTGATAATACGATTCCTATTTTTCCCCTGCATATTATCAGGCAACAACACATTTCTAGCCAATAATAATTGTATGGTGCGGAATCTGGTACAACACCTGAGGATAAAATGCGGCGTCACGGATGAAAAAGGTCAGAAAATTAACAAATAACTTCGTTGCTCACATTTTTATAATAAATTTTATAAGTTAAAGGCCGACTTTATGAAATGACATCTACAATTTGCCGGAAATGAATATGAAGCCATCGCTATAATGAAACCTTGCTCAAATTACAGATAGGACTGGTACCAAATACCCTGACTTCATTCAGACTGAAATGATATCATTTGGAGGAAAATTAACATTGAAGGTTGTTTTAAAATAGGAAGCCTTTAAAATAGGGCACATCGTACAGCAGATTGGTGATAAGATTGTTCAGTTTGATAATAAAGGAAATTGGGCCCACAGTCAGAGTATGTCATGGGAAAGATATTTGGCTATAGGGCCATCGCAGATTTGTCCTTTGAAAAAGAAATTACAGGACAACCAGAAATTGTCTAAATTTTCAAAATGGCGGCCATTGCATGTTATTCTATGATATTTTTTTTCAAAGGACAAATCTGCGATAGCCCTATAGCCAAATATCTTTTCCAAGACATGCTCTGACTGCGTGCCAAATTTCATGCTTTATCATCAATTGGAAAAGCGCCAATCTGCCTGACTAATACTTTTGAACGTGCGTTAACAACGGAATCCAGTTACGAGACCCCACAAATTATGAATAGCCTACATTTTCTCTGTTTTCTCAAACTCAGCTGAAGCTTCAACAGGCCAGTTGTTATGCACCCATATACTTGAGCAAATTTGTTGCTTGAGACGCAAAAAAATGGACAAAAACAAAACGATCTTACGCGTGTTTGCAATGCATTGACTGTCTTTTTTCTGTAGTGGTGCTTGATTTGGCCGATGAGGAAGGCAACTTACAAAATCTGGGTGATTACAACCCTCGGTTTCCCGCTGCGAGACTCCTGCAACCCAAAGTCACCTACATCCCCATCCTCATTGAACGTAAGTCTTTATCAGCTAACGTTTAGGACCGTCAGATAACGCGTTGAAACGTTTTACACAGTTTCATTTGAATTGTGTAACGTTTATGACTCATTTCGTGTCCGTTTCATTTGAAACGTCTAGCGTTAATGACTCATTTCGTTTCCGTTATATTTGATTTATATTAGGTTGATAATTTTTCTGTTGGTTTATTTGAAATGTGTGAAGTTTATGACTCGTTGCGTTGTGGTATTTGAAATGTGTTACGGTAATTACTTACAATGTATTACGTTTCTGTTTTGTTCAAAATGTGTTACGTTAATGACTCGTTTCGTTTGTTTTATTTGAAATGTGTTATGTTCATGTCTTTTAAAAAACGTTTCTAATATGTTTGAAATGTGTTACGTTAATGACTCATTTTGTTTCTGTTTTATCATAAATATGTAACGTTGTGCAACGTTAAGAATCAATTTGTTTCTGTTGTATTTGAAAATGTGTTACGCTTATGAAAGTGTTGAATCAGCCACCACGTTTACCGATTTAAAAACAGAAAACTTTTTTGTGTTTCAACTCCGTTTAGGAAATGATGACAACACACTCAAACCGTTCACACCAATGGTCAAACGCGTCACGAAAGATCCCGATTTCATGAGTAAGTGCAATGGCAAATACTCAGTGTAAACAAAAAAAAACAAAAAAAATAAACAACCCAACAAACAAACAAACAATGAGGACGAGATGTGTATAACAAACACTAGCAATAAGGACGGACGAACAGAACAACTTTACCAGAACAAAGTCCTGGTCCAAGACAGGATCTGCATTTTGTTTCCCCAATACACAACAAACTAAATAAAATTGATTTGTTTATGATAATCAAGTTGAATAAAGACATTGACTAGAACAGGATATGAACCTTTGACCTCTGGAACACTACTCCGGTGCTCTACCAACTGAGCTCAGGGGTGTAGCACGGTCATTTTTATTGGGGGGGTTTAAACTTTTTTGAAAAGGGCATTTGCACATCCGTTGTGAAATATAGACAGGTTTTTTTCTCCGGACACTTGGCCTCCGTAAAATAAAAAAAAGGGGGGGGGGGTAAAACCCACAATTGTGCACACAAAGGGCCATTATATGGTGCTTTTCAGGGCGATACATGTGCAAAATTCTGAAAAAGGCACCCAAAACGGCAGATGCCACAAAAAGGGCACCAACTTCTTTTGGTAAAGGGCACTTGTTCAGAAAACAAAAAGGGCACTTCATATAAAAAGGGCACTCTTTACAAATTATTGGGGGGGGGGGGGGGTAAGCCCATTCAAAGACGGGCATTTGAATGGAAAAAGGCACGGACACTTGGCCTCCGTAAAATAAAAAAAAGGGGGGGGGGGGGGTAAAACCCACAATTGTGCACACAAAGGGCCATTATATGGTGCTTTTCAGGGCGATACATGTGCAAAATTCTGAAAAAGGCACCCAAAACGGCAGATGCCACAAAAAGGGCACCAACTTCTTTTTGGTAAAGGGCACTTGTTCAGAAAACAAAAAGGGCACTTCATATAAAAAGGGCACTCTTTACAAATTATTGGGGGGGGGGGGTAAGCCCATTCAAAGACGGGCATTTGAATGGAAAAAGGCAGTCTATACAAAATATTGGGGGGTAGATCCCCCCCCCCCCCCCCTGCTGGCTACGCCTATGGAGCTACATGGATTTATGACTTCTGACAAGCGCCCTTCATGGACTAACTGCGAAACTGCCAACATAGCGCTGGATAGCTCAGTTGGTAGAGCACTGGAACAGCAATCCTGAGGTCACAGGTTCAAACACCGCTCCAGTCAATATCTTTGTTCAGCTTTATGACTACATATATTACATAAACATTCACCTAGTCAGTTTTGCTTTGTGGTCTATTTGATCATAAATGTGTTTATTATTAAGTACCAAATTATAATATCTTCATCACTGTGTTGTTTGCAGAGAATTTAATGGAGCAATACGAACGACGCGAGCTTGCAAGGACAGGGGGCAAGCAAGCCCGTCTAGAACCGGTCAAAGAGGGCGAGAAAGGTCCAGCCGCTACCACCAAGGGGAACGTCAAGGGGGCAGCCGCGACCCCCAAAAATCCAAAAGGGGGAGGGGGTACCCGGTCCAAATCGACAAGATAAAAGGGGACAGAGATTTTAGATTGGATGTAGAAGAATGTAAAAATGTGAACAATATTAAATTTACTGTAATATACAGGGCGAGTAAAAAAACAACCGAAACCCAAGTATCGGGACCATTGTTTTAGTGAGGTTCTGCATGTAGCAATTTCAAAATCTAGGATATGAAAGCCCTATTAATAAGCTTTCTTTTAGTACAAGAATCATTCAAATCACTCCTGCACTTTTCAAGTTAAGGAATGTTAAACACAACAACCGTTTTAAAGTTCTGTCCACAGATCACAAGAAGGCAAGTATTCTTTCAGTAAAACGAAAACAAATCACATAGGGATGTGTGTGAATTGTTTTCGTCATGCTGAAAGAACGCTCACCTTTTTTTTGCGATCTGTGGACAGAACTTTAAAATGGTGGTTGTGTTTATAATTCCGTAACTTGAAAAGTACAAGAGTGATTTGAATGATTCTTGTACTAAAAGAAAGCCTATGAATTGGGCTTTTATATCCTAGATTTTGAAAGTGCTACATGCAGAACTTCACTAAAACAATAGTCCCCACAATTGGGTTGGTTTTTTTTTTACTCACCCTGTAGTTACATGCGAAGCATTCAGTGTACATTGTATATTTACACTGAAGTTGTGTTTTGACTTGATGAGACGCTGGCTAAAAAGGGGGCGGGGCATCTCGGATAATTGAAAATGGGGAAATGACCATACGCTGTCATTATACTGTGTGAAAACAAAATCCCCAAATGACAAAACTAAATAATAAATCACATGATTATTTTGCAGTCCTCTCAAGATTTGTTTGATGTAAATCCATCTGTTTTTATTTAAATATATATTTTCAATATTAGGTTTTGCCCTTCACCGACATTTTAACACTGTATTCTCAGTGTGTTACCTCCCACGTGAAAGTTGTAAAACATCACTCGGGTGGGACTCGAACTAGCAAGCAGGAGGTCATGGGTTTGAGTCCCAGCAGAGTGATTTTTTTCCAACTTTCACTCGGGAGGTAGCACACTGAGTATACAGTGTTTATACGTCGGTAAAGGGCAAAACGTAACACTAATTTACATCACCCCAACGCAAAAAATATTTCATCTTATAAATATATATTTTCGGTTTTAAAGCTGGCTTGCAGTCCTAATTTTGGTGAGATTTTTTTTGTACATCTTCAACAAATTACAAGCTTTGATGAAGTACTACTTCTTTTAAATCAAAAAGCTGAAGTCAGAAAATCTAAACTGTACATTTTAATTGGTAAAGGCAAGCCAGAGTCATTTAAAATTTCTGATCAACATGTTACATGTATTGCTATAGCAATTACCCAAACTTTAATTAGGACAGTCCCAACTACAGTTGGGATGTCCTAACTATGACTCAAGCTAAATACTTGACTCGACTCGACTCGACTCGACCTTCTTGATCTGATGACTTGACTCGACTTGAGTCACTTCTTTAAAGGGGCACTAGGTCCTGAAATCCCCGAAAATTTCATAGTTTACTTATCCTATTTCAAACATCTGGTTGAAAGGAAACCAACTTAATGTCTTACCGTTCCCGAGAAAAGACGAAAAACAAACCCCGGTTGTTTACATCGGACATGACGGAGTACGAATACGTTTTTTTCCTGTCGTTCAGTAAATGTACGATATACACGTTGTGTGTGTTTTTTATAACCTACCTATACAGCACCCTGCTCGCGAACAGCGGTTACCAATCATCAATGCACAAAATGTGATTTCTTCGACGTCAAAAGGTGAACACTTTACGGATGAAATCACAACTAGCACCCAAACAGCTGGACTTTTTGGGGTCGCAAAAGTGGACCCCGAAAGTCGTTCTCGCACGCATAATACAGGAATAACACAAAAATGACCAGTTTTGAAAGGATAGTTGTATGGATGTTTATATCCTACTTTTAAATGTTCTTTCCGATAAACATTATTTTGTTCAAAGCGCGTTTTGTAGCCCAATTGGGCTGTTCCAGGACGCAGTGTCCTTTTAATTAAATGACTCGACTCAAGTCACTTCTTTAAAACGACTTGACTCGACTCGCGTCACAAAAATCAGTGACTCATCACAACTCTGCATTTTACATATGACGAGCATCTCACCTGGGCCCAAAGAACAGTTTCTCGGTATTATCATGCAAATTCTGGGCTAGTTCTTCAATGTTTTCCTCCCTCGCTGCGGCCATAACTTCTAGCACTTGTCTGAAAAGACACACGAGAATAAAAAAAATGAAACATATGACTGTCCATTTAAGTTAAATTTAATATAAGGTTTTGTCCTTCACCAAAATTACATGAACAATGTACAGGTTGTCCTTCAAAAAACCTAACAGTCGAATCGGGCATGTTTTCAGAAAAGTTGGAGTAGAATTAAAAAATAACAGCATTGCTGTTGAAACCCCTCAGCCAGAGTGAAGTTATCATCCGGAAACCATTAACCTTTAGCTCAACATGGTTACCTTGACCTTTGACCTTTGACCCCAGAACCAGTCCCAACATGCCTGTACCAATGGGAAACCCCCTACCAAAGTTAGACATCAAAATTTCATTTCTAACTCAAGTTATCATCCGGAAACCCCATTTACCTTTAACTCACCACAGTGACTTTGACCTTTTGTTCTCAACACCAATCCCAACTTGCCTGTACCCAAGGGCAACCCCCTACTGAAGTTAGACAGTAAAATGTGATTTCTAACTCAGTTATCATCCGGAAATCATTTACGTTTAATTCACCACCTTGACCTTTGACATTTTTAACCCAAAATCAATCCAAACTTGCTTCTCCCAAGGGCAACCCCCTACCAAAGTTAGACCTTGACCTTTGACCTTTTGACCCCAACACTAATCCCAACTTGCCTGTACCAAAGGGCAACCCCCTACCGAAGTTAGACAGCAAAATGTGATTTCTAACTCAAGTTATCATCCGGAAACCATTTACATTTAACTCACCATGGTGACCTTGACCTTTGACCTTTTGACCCCCAAACCAATCCCAACTTGCCTACTCCCAAGAGCAACCCCCTACCAAAGTTAGACAGCAAAATCTCATTTCTAACTCAAGTTATGCTCCGGAAACCATTTACTTCAACTCACCACGGTGACCTTGACCTTTGACCTTTTGACCTCAAACCCAATCCCAACTTGCCTACTCCTAAGGGCAACCCCTACCATAGTAACATCCCCAAACAACATTTCTAACTCAAGTTATCATCCGGAAACTAAGCTGCCCGGACGGACATACAGACCTCCAGCCGGGCCGGCCCGACGGACACCCTAGGCGATGACAATACCCCTCGAGCCTATCGGCTGAGGGGTAAAAATTGGGTCTAATGTATTGCCGAGTAGAATAATTGGTCTTTGAAATGCTTTTTATTTGGTTTAATTAGGATGTTTTGTTCAAAAGATACAGCAACCACAATACGGGACTTGAAAAACCACTTAGGCCAGTTGTTTATTTATCAAGTGTACAGACCGAATTTGAATAGGCTCGTGTTACTAGCAAAATATCAATTTAAAGAAAATATATTTTGCAGGGCAAACTCAAAAAATAACCAACAGTCATCTGTAACTTTTTGTGACAAAGATGAAAAATACTGTGCACATGGGGGAAAATTAAAAAATAAAATATTACCCTGGTCAAGACTTACATGATATGGCTTGGTTCGTTCCGGCTCTTCACACAAAAACCTTGCTCCCATTTCTCCTTCTTCTTAGTCTGAAACGATGTTTTGATGTATTTGAATCCTGCGTGACTTGGTCGTATCTCGCACCAAGGAGCATCTATTCAAATATACCAGAAGTATACTTACAACCCAAATTTATGCCAAATCATACAGTATAACAGATATTCATAAATACCCAAGACAGTTTACCCATTCCTATTGGTCGAGAGCCCGTCACGTGGCTGGTCTTTAAATGGTTGACAAAACACAGGCAGGCTGGTCTTAAACACTTTTCCAGTATTAAATGAAATTTGGACCCCTTTGAAATTCGGTCCCTTTTACCCTTTGCTGACCGTTCATAATCCTCAAGTAGGCACGCGCAATACTACCAATGAGTCCGTATTTCACAGTCCTAAATTCGCACTGCAGCGGCACAGCTGCGTTCTGCGCCACATCGCACAGTACACACAAGCCAATTTCCTTAGTTTACTCATTATCAGTGTCCAGACTCCAAACCGGTCTTAAACATTGTGTTTAAAACCTGCCAAGCACAAATGTATTCCCTTGTTTAAACATCAACGGCTATTTATACAAGATAATACATATGATTAATTTTTTCCCACTGTAACACTAACCTGTTTCAATAAGCAGTTTGTCACTTGGGACTGAACACATGGCTTCAATGTTAGCTGCAGTCTTCAGAGAACTGGGAGTTAAAATAGAAACAAGACAAGCAAGCCTTGTAAAGCTGGTCCCAGAGTGCACAAATTACAACTCCACTGATTCAGAATGGGCGACTAGAATCAGGGGTTCGAATCCAGCTGCTGACCATATGTTGTGTCCTTGGGCAAGCCACTTCACCCCCACTTCACTCCACCCAGCAGTATAAATGGGTACCGGCATTAGCTGAAAGTAACCTGCGATGGACTGGCATCCCATCCAGGGGGAATAGAGATATTCTCAGTCGTTTCATGCCACTGAAACCGGAGATAAACGCCGGCCTGGCGGGCCATATTGGCTCGGGACAAGACTTTACTTCACTTTTCAACATGTGAAGTTGGGATCAGAATTTTTCTGGGATGGATGATAATGTGATTGATGATGTGGCACAAATGACTCACCATCCATTGATTCCTATATGCAGACCTAAATCAAGATATGTGGAAGCGTCTTCCTTTGTACCGTCAAATGTATGCACCTGTGTTAAATAGAACAATGGACAATAATATTATCTTCTAACTCATCAGACCGAGTAAAAACATTAATTCTCGTTTGGGCTTTTTGAAGAAAGGACAGAGGAGGCCCTTTTTTATGTTTTTCACCCAAGACGGCGGATTTTTCAAGATGGCAGACAAATTCTTCCATTTTTTTTCTCTTTTGTTGATACTCTTGTATCTAAGGGTGCAGACCGGTAAATAGCCCGAAAATTGCCTACGCTGCCCATATGCTTCTAAACTTATCCCAGTTGTCCTATTTTTTTCCCCCCACAAATCTATTCTCGTACTCTGTCAGTTTTCAAATTCATAAATAAACTGCACCAACTCACCACGCCTCCGACGAACTTGTCTCGATTTCTTTTGAGAATTTCTGAAATGATAATAAAATCAAACAAGTTCAGAAATGTGAAAACCAGACTTCCAATGCAATTTAAGAAAAAACTAAAATGATGTCATGTATTAGCCCAAGAGAGTTGTTGGGATTCTCTGCTGTCCCCTCATTGTCCTTGGTCCTCATAATAACTATCATTCATCAGTGGTGTGGTCCCCACAGCTATGGAACAAGTGTGTACGTACTTTACGTACACCCCGAGGACAGACAGACTAAGGAAGAACAACAGATTCTTTGTTGACCTCAAGCGTTCATCTTTTGTTGAAAACGGTCCTTGATTGTGCGTATGTGTGCTATGGGAGAGTCTTATATTATAGGGACAAAGGGAAAGACAATGCCTTGTCCTCCAGAGTTATGTAAAGTACAACTGTGTGTTTGTACCCGTGTTTGTATTTTTGTACCTGTAAAGTCGCTGTGCGAATTCCTGCAATGTAGAAAAAGTGGCAATCTGGTCTGCTCAGAGAGATCAAGTTGCTTCTCAAAATACCTGAAAACAGGACGAAAAGAAAAATACCCTATGTAATAAAGTTTGGAGTATGATGTTGTTCAGATCTTGAATTTCGTGACTGACAACTTTTTCTGGTCCCAGAGGGCAAACCTACAGTCCGTTTTGTACCTATTTGGCTGATTGACTGACTGTCACTTGTGAGCTGGGCAGTGCTATTGTATAGGATTACCCCGTAACGTCAATGAATGGGCTAAATCCGGCCATTGTGTAGACCAGATGCATGAACAGACTTCCAGTCATTCTGAAACACTCGAATAAAACACTGTGCACTCTGGGACCAGCTTTACTAGACTTGCCCAGTCTTTTTTAGATACTTACTTCAGCTGTGGCTCCTTCGGGCAAAAGTGAAGTCTGTCATAATCTGAAACAAAAAAGTTGAATAATTAAACAAATCACATTAACAGATTGTTTTATCTGCTATTAACATTATCTTGGTGCATCCTATTAAAAAGTAGATTATATCGTTTGACATTTGGGCATTTTGTTTGTTTGAAGCAACAAAAGTGCTCAAAATCTAAACAAGGGTGCTTAACAACTAACCTGATGAATAGCTCAGTGAATGCTGTATATTCCGAGAAAACAATATTGTAGGATCTTGATTTCAATTCACAAGTTGCCGAGTCATGTTTTGAATTGCGCCCCGAATCAGCTTCCGGGACACGTTCTCATTCAGCCGATTGCAGTTACGCGATGTCATGCACTGCACCAACGAATTATAGCACAGAACCACACGCGTGAGTGCGTCGTGTCAATGCTTGTGCGCACCCATTCACGGCTTTGCAAAATTAAACGCGAACTAGAATGGAAATTTCCAAAAATGCATCTTTAGACACATCTTTGGAAAAGGCGTTCTTTTATTGTCTTCTTCAAAATGACAGTAGGCAAGAAAGAATAATTTCACAGGGAGTTCAGTGCCATTACTATCTTCAAACCAAGTATGCTTTTCAACAATAATTTTGTCAGTTTCTCTTTGGACAGCTGCAAATGATTTACTCTACCTTTAATTTACAAAGGTACACAGTAGAATTGTTACACCCAAGCTATAGCGTCGTCCCAACTACAGTTTGGACAATCCCAATTATACTTGGGATCCTGTCTATACTTTGGAATGTCCTAACTATAGTTGGGACCATCCCAACTATAGTTGGGTCTATACCTTTAGTTGGGCATAACATAATTACTTACCTAGTCCACACTCTCCAATGGCTATAACTTTCTCTTTGTTGGCCTGAGCGAGATTCAGCAACGCTGTTGAATATTCATCAGGACCCCCTGCAGCTTCATCAAACTCCTTACATCGTGTTGGATGACAGCCAACTGTGCTGTATAGTGCATCTAGTAAAAGGTCAAGCGCGAACTCAATGTAAGCTTGGAAAGTATTATATACAATAATACAATTTTTGGAAGGATGCTGCTTATGCACATACAATAATATTGAAATACTATACAAATATACACATAATATACAAATACAATATTTTCAATTTTGGGAGGGATGCTAGTGACTATCAACAGATTTTACCTTGATCTAGGTAATCAAAATATTTTGTAAATCATTCTTTTTGTCCATACATGCACAAATAAAAGGATATTGAGTCCATTCGATTCTACTTAAAGATGCGAACCCCATGCTCTTCAAAAAATGGATTTTTTTCCTCCTAACAAATTTTTGAATTTGTATGATTTGTTTTAACGAAAAATATACTTTTCTGATTTTGGGTGTTTGCAACCCTCCGAAAAAGGCTTTCATTTTGTGCACAAATGAACCCGCCCTGCGAGAGCCACATTATTGTGTGGCAGCCAATAATTCAAATTTTGTGAAGAAATAATTCAGTAACTAAACGCCGGTGGATTTTTTCGTTGGACGTCGCATTCACAATTGAATAAGTTTTATATTGCAAGGAAAACAGCGATTGATATATTTTTCAAGATGACACTCAAAAATAGCACAGAGAACATTTCTTTAAATTCTGTTCATTACATTTTGCTTGTCCCTATTAAACAAAGTACCGTTTGTCTTTGAGAGCTCCAATGCTGATCGACTGTCTTCAAGGTTGTTACCAGTGATAAACATCTAGAAAAAGATAGCAAAATAAATACAGAGACTAGCAAAGAGAGAAATGATGCATGGGGTGATGGTGAACACTTTTTTATAAGTGATATTGTTTTTATCTTTAAAGTTGAACAAAGACATTGACTGGAGCGGGGCTTGAACCTACGACCTCCGGATTGCCGTTCCGGTGCTCTACCAACTGAGCTATCGAGCCCTATGTTGGCGGTTCCCAATTCTATCAATGTCTTTGTTCAAGGGACACTAGTCAGAAGCCGTAATCTGTATATGCCATGTAGCCAGGGATCACGCCCAAAGTCACAATGCTAGCAACATTAGCAATGTTGCAAACCTGGGAAATATCAAACGGGGATCACTCAGAGAGGATATGGCTTTTGATGACAAATTTTTACGTTTGACTTACTTTTTTCACTCCTTGATCAAACGCTCTCTGCAATACATCAAGAAAGTCATCTGCAAGAAAAATTGGAAAAGTGAGCATTGTGAAAGTTGTTTGATTTGCACTTGTTTTCTTTGAAACATTATCACATAAACATTGAAATAAATGTAAACAATTGTGATTTCTCACCTTTATGTTTCTGTGATCCATGGTAGACGCCACGAAACATAGAATCTGTGTTTGCAGATAACATAGCATAAGTGAATAATTTCAAATATTGTAAAAGAAATTCATGTTTGAAAAAGAAAACATTTCAGAATATGGCCCTATAGTTCTTTATATGTAATTTTTATTTTAACAAATTAGGCCTATACGACAACATAAAAGTAAATATCATTTTATACATGACATTGTTTACTTCAAAAACATTTTTCTTTTTCTTTGAGGAATATTTTCAAAGGCAAATTAGCATTTGTTCAAGTAATTTGATTTTGCTTGTTATTCACTTGTTATTTGTGGTCATTGGTGGCCTGAACACCTGAAACCCTTTAATGAAAATAGGCTTACCAGTTAAGTTAACTCCAATGTCTGCAAAAAAAAAAAAAAAAAAAAAAAAAAAAAACAAAGGAAAAAGTCATAAAGTGATCTTCAACTCTTTGTCTGTGAAAATGGTGCATAAACAATAACAAAGCAAACAACAGGTTATCTTACCCACTTTCACAAAATGCAATTGAAATATCGTGGCCTACTTTTCCATATCCAGAGAAAATTTTATTTGTAGTGGGTATACAGCAGCCGTAACGCAATATAAAGCTACTGTTACGGCATCTGGGCATTGCAAAAACACCATTGCCAATCAAAACTAGTGAATCAATAAAACATTAACTGCCCTTCTATTGGTTCCAACCAGAGCGCTTTTTAACTCGATTGGTTAAATGTTTGGCTACCATGCCGAAGAGGGATCAAAACTGGGCTGTGCCAACTTTTTTTTTTTTTTTTTTTTTGTTCTTTAAAAAAAAATGTTTTACTTAAGTGGAGGGGGGGGGGGCTATGATTTCAAATCTTCTTTGTATTGAAGTGGTTTGTGGATTTGGATGATTTTTTAAGGAAAATAAAGTCCAAGACCCATTCGGTTGATAGTCTGGTTCAAAGAACGGAAAAATTCTGCCAACCGGACACCACTTTTTTCAATTAATTTTCTAGCGCCAAAAGTTACCTCTTTTTTAGTCCGAGTAACTTGGACCCAACTTATCGCCTTTTTAAAAATTTGGACATGGTCTGGCGATAGTAGGGTCCAAGCCCATTCCTCGACCTAGACAACACAGTCACTGACAGTCCCAAAAACCAACATTTTCCAACAAAAAACATCAGATTTCACCTTCAAAACGGCCTCCAAATTACTAGATATGTCACCTGAGGTACAAGTAGACATAGATGATTAAGATGGTTGTACTTAAGTTTACTTACGATCCGGAAAAAAAGTGAAATTTTCCGTTCAATTCTGGAGACCCCCTCTGCCTAGGTTGTCGTTGTTGTGCTCACGTTCAAAACTGCATGATAATGGCGTCTGACCTCGACCTCATGCAAATGTGGTGCGGTGCGCTTGCGCATAATGCACTGCATGCACACACGGCAGATTCCCCTGCGCCGCGCCGACGACTGTTTCCTGATGTAGAGCGCTGTGTAAGTTCGCGGTACGCCTGGGAGTCGCGCTGGCTAGCCAGGCGTACCGCGAACTTACACAGCGCTCTACATCAGGAAACAGTCGTCGGCGCGGTGCAGGGGAATCTGCCGTGTATGCTGCATTATGTGCATTATGCGCAAGCGCGCCGCACCACATTTGCATGAGGTCGAGGTCAGACGCCATTATCATGCAGTTTTGAACGTGAGCACAACAACGACAACCTAGGCAGAGGGGGTCTCCAGAATTGAACGGAAAATTTCACTTTTTTTCCGGATCGTAAGTAAACTTAAGTACAACCATCTTAATCATCTATGTCTACTTGTACCTCAGGTGACATATCTAGTAATTTGGAGGCCGTTTTGAAGGTGAAATCTGATGTTTTTTGTTGGAAAATGTTGGTTTTTGGGACTGTCAGTGACTGTGTTGTCTAGGTCGAGGAATGGGCTTGGACCCTACTATCGCCAGACCATGTCCAAATTTTTAAAAAGGCGATAAGTTGGGTCCAAGTTACTCGGACTACCTCTTTTTATGGTTATTCCCTCCACTTTCCCTCCTCTACTCTCACCCCCTCCTTTCCTTAATTTCTATTTATCAATCAGTCTCTCACTTCATCGAGATTCAAACTTCGGACGCTTGCTTGATACACGAGTCTCTTAACCGCTAGGCCGCGCACGATCGCTGTTGCAATGATCAATCTTTGGACGTATTTGAAGTATCCATTGAAATAAACTAAATATTCATGAGAAAATAAATATTCATAATGCCGTATTGCACTATCATTGGCCGGCTCATGCGACGTCTCATGCGACGTCATGGTTATCGATGTCATGCGTATAACGTACCGCTATTCCAGACACTTCAATCAGTTTTGACCGGCTGCTTCAACTCAGATCTGCACTACATGTGCATGCAAAATGTGCTCCAAAAACACATTTTTACCAATTTTTTTTCGCATGTCCACTCTTTCCTGGATTCCTCTTGGTTGAAATCACAAGGTAAGGTGAAAATTTGGATGTTTGGCGGCAGGTAAGTGGTGTCCGGTTGGCAGAATTTTTCCCAAAGAACCAAGGATCCTCACATTAAATGAGTCAGGTCAGGGAACCAGACAGTCTACTGCCGTAACAATAGTCAATAGCCTGCCTGCATGCGTAATCATGGTATTGCAATGGTAATGAAGTTAATTTTATGATTTAAAAGAACATTCATTATTTCCTACAATACTGGCTATTATTCATGGAAATTTAAGCCAACCTTTGAGGAAGAAACGCCACGAAATAATATGTTAATCGAACTCTGCATTTGGTCTTAACTGTCATATGAAATCGCGTTTTTTTCTTACCAATTAACCCAATCTGCTTCAGCTTCATGGAGGCTGCCATCTTGCTTTTGAAGAATAAGACTGGTAACCGTCGCTACAATGTGTATTTTGCATAAACAGACGTCAAGTAATATGACTAAAAAATAAACTTGCCGCGGTACAGTGACAGCGCCCTCTTTATCTTTTCGGCTGTCAAATATAGCGGCGTCTTCTTTTTGGAACTTTTAGTCTCCAAATAATAAGTTGAGCATATTCATGCAAATATTGGCCACGTTTCAAAAGTTGTAGGCGTGAGCCCATTTGGCCGGGTGTATTCGGTCCGGGGATGGTGGAGTCGGGGGGTGGGGGTTGAGGAAGGGGGCCGGGGGAGGTTGACTCCGAGTATTTTTTTTTCTGAAATAGTGGCTCTACTTTTTCTCTAGTTCGGAAAGTTGTTCAAACCTAGCGTGGAGGTTATTTCTACTAACTTGTACCGGTTGTGAAGTGTCAGCGCTTTCATTCCCTTAAATTAAATAAATTATAAACAAATAAAGACTAAATAAATAAGTTGACAAAATGTCTTCGTGGCAGGGGTGAGGGGTGAGGGGGGGGGGGGTGAGGGGGGAGGGGGTGAGTGGTAAGTTCTCGTCTTACCCCCCCCCTCCCTTCCGCTGGATACACTTTGGTGTGGACCTAATACCATATGTGACATTGTTTACAAATAAAATGTTGTGGTCACGTGATGCCAACTTTCAGCGAACAGCTCTCTTCTGCACTGCGTATATTTCTTGAAATATAAATAGTTTTAAATGGACCGATCCAGTAAGCTCCGCCCAGTGCGCACATGGGCAAATTAACACGTGCTCCTCTCCAATGCCACGCTGCATTTTCCTTCCGCGCGCATCATACGCGCGTGAACGCATGTCGGACTTTAGTGCACGCACGTCGGACATAAATCACGACTGTGATTGGTCAGAACACCATGGGGCGGTGCTTACTGGATCGGTCCATTGTTGACATGTACTGTTCTAATATCGGCCAAATTACATGCAAAAGATGCTCAAATGTTTTGGTTGCCCTGCAGTCACCTGTCGGCATGACGTGCACAGGGCACAAAACGGAAGTGGTGACGAACAATTATTCATCAAACTATACATTTTTTCCCCTTCAAATTCTTGTGTCATCTTGTCAAGTAAATAAAAGTCGTAATACTTTCCAAATCACATAATGAGTAAATATTTCAGTAACAATTAAGGGATTTTGTTAACCTCATCTGCCAATCAAAATTCCATGTTTGTTTGTTTTTCCCCCGCTTGCCCGCCCAATCTCATACGTCATCAAATTCGAACAAAAGGCCTAAATCGCTTGACGACCTTGCAACAGTAGGAAAACAAAAGAGGCTCTCCTAAAAACCCTGAACCTACGTGCAGACCACCAGACAGATTTCGCAACGGGGAGGCGACAGAAATGACCTAACAGATCAAATTAGGCACAGACGAGTGCTTCGCAATAATACTTCCGATTCTGGGTTCACTACGATGACAAATGACAAAAACTCAAGCAGGCCCGAATCACGGCGTCATGCGGTGCACATAACTTTGACGCACGGCGTTTTCTTGTCAGTGGGAAGATGAAGCTTGTCCTTTGATGATGGAATTGACAACTGTCTCGCTATAGTCGGATATTTTTAGGAACAGGTAAGCATGCTGATGAATTTAAATTAAGCAGTATTAGAGCAAGGAGAGTAGATTTAAATTGTAAGGTCCTTCTTGCTGACGATTATGAATTGAGTGCAGGGAAAATATTTAAGTATTTACTGAGAAAACACTTACAAATTTTCAGACCAGTCTCATAGGGTTTGTGCACAGAGTGACAAGTGATAGCCAGATAATGGTAATCTTTCCAAATCTGCTTTAGGTTTAAAAGGTCATTTGTGAATGATTTAAACACCCCTGACTTTTGTTTAATAATCAAAACTAAAGGGGGCCGACACTAGCTACACGATTACCTCGGAGTTGAGTTCCCCGATAATGGTTTAAAAAAATGAGACATTGCGTTGGCACCCAAGACCTTGTGAATATTGATTGATCATAAATCATACAACAGATCGGTAGATGAATAATTGGGTCACGTAGTAAAAATGAAACTCCTTCGTCGATGTTGAACTTTTTCGTCCAATTCTGGGATAAAATCCGACAGCATGTGATTTGAACATTGTTCATTCTGTAAATTTGGGGTCCACTTTTTCTGTCCCTGTTACGTCTGACATTATGATTTTATAATTCTGATGCACTCAGTAATGCAGTCATCCTCCAAGAGTGATAATGAATAGCAAACTACTACCCAACAAATAAAAACATTGAAGTAATTCTTAATGATGCTTCATTTTTGCTTGAGTCCACTCTCATAAAAATAAAAGAAACATTTTTCTGTCTAGAGTTTTGGCAAAGGCCCATTTGAATGTCCGACCAGCAAAACGTCGTCAGCATACACATTCTTTCCACATACATTTCCTAAATTTCAGGCTTGTAAATATAGTCCGGATAGTTGGGAATGAGAGTCCCAAAACGCAATTGAAAACATGCAACACAAGAAAATAGACTTGTACATAATACAACCAGTCCACACACTGTCTCGAAGTCATAAGAAACATCTGGTACCCAGACTCTATTTTTATACATTCCCTCCATACATGCCACCAGACTACTGTAGCCAATATTTTTCAAAAAGTATGACATGTACCAGTCTAGTCTTGGGCTTCAAAGTGAGAAATCACTTGACTCCCAGGTTTTAAAATGTTGAAGAAAAGTATCATTTAAAAATCAAATTGAAACCTCAAACTTGGCTGGTGAAATACTGAGAATCTTATCTTTGCCTCATGATAATTTTGGAGAATTGTGTATGCTAAAGACTAAGAGTGGGTAAAGTTGGCCTGAATTTGTTTTGCATGTTTTTCTGCAATCAAGATCTTGGTTTACACTAGCTTGTTAAAATGCATTTCCCCCGTCGACCCTGCTTAGAATTCCCATAGAATTCGATGCCATTGCAACCTATGGCCTATTTATCAAGTAGGTCTATAGAACGAAAAATACACATTCTGCATACAGAAAGAAAACCTAGCCTATTATTCAATGACGGCTGTATTAATTGCCCACGGGGCTGAGAACACAATTTGCACATATTTTGTGTGGTGTGGGATTACTCTTTGCTATAGAGTAGGTTCCAATTATTTCGTTCAATTCGAAGGTGAATAGGTTGATCCGTAGGCTGTGCCCAGCTGCCATTTTTTTGAATGAAGTGAAAAATGGCATGAGTTGTCCAAGCAATGGGTGTATTATTCATTTCCAACCCCTTTGGATTCTGATCCGAAGGAATAAATAACAAATATTTCTTTTAAACTTTTATGAAAGATGATAAATGTGGTTTTATTTTTAACTATATAGATTTGAACCTCTTTTGAAAATGACGTTTCGTGAGAAATGTGAAGTGTTGCATTCACACGCAGATTCAGTCTCGATAATCGTTACTCATAAAAAAAATCTGTGTATAATGTTCCCAAATAAACCAGGTTCTGTAAACATGAGAACGTGCAGTTCGTGTCACAGTCATAAAAATATATCCTACAGAAATAAACAGGCACACTTGTTTGATTTTGAAAGAAAGGCTTTTATTCTTGTATTTTACTAGCTGCAAATTCCTTTTCCAAATATAACTTGGGAAATTTAACCCAACCTAGTTCTGCACTGTAAACTAATCAATGAAAGGATTCCTTTCCTAATCAATAATGTTCGATAGATCAATAAGATGAACGTTATATTTAGAAGTTCATGGTCGATCATGACTATTGTTAGTTTCAAACAATGACGTATTGTTATTAATTTGCCATGGCCGACTGTATTATATCAACACGATGACGCCATTACTAAAAAAAAAAATATGTTATGATAGTTCGCATCAATTATGACTAAGCTAATTTTTGGAGGTTGTATAATTTTAATTTTTCTTAATTAGGAAATGTAGTTCCAATAAATGTTACGTTACAACAATCCAATTATTTTATTTATTTATTATCGGGCAAACAAGATGTAAACTAAGTTAAAAGCAAACAATGTGCAATCGTGATGTACATCTTGATGGGTAGTATCTGAAATTTACCCGTCGTTTTCGAATTATATACAGAAAGATGGGCAAGATATGATAGTATTTTGATGATAGTGATGTTTGTGGGCGGGTCTGAGTGATATGAGGGGGTCGTGTGTCCATTTATTACAGATAATGAACGCCATTTACAAAAAAATGTTTTTGCTGATTCAAGAAACAGCAATACAATAAATCTTAAGTAGATTTTTCTCGACACGAAGCAATATTTCCATTAAAAGCCCTCCGTTTCAAATGTTCAGTCACCGTCTTGTGGTATGATCCCAGTTTGTCACTCAGGAAAATAATTCCCATTCACGAATATGCAAAATAAACTAAACTCGGTCATTTTGGAGCAGTATTTGAAGAAGAAGAAAGTTTTTTTTTCTTGCGATGGTTTGGTTCTAACCATTGTAAGAAAATGATGGTCATTCCTCTCAAGGGCTGATCCGGGGGGAGGGGGCAAAGGGGGCCATGCCCCCCCCCCAAAAAAAAACGAAACCATTTTTTTTTTTTATGTGACATCGCAATAAAGGCAGGCAATGAGTACACCACCATCTTTTCCTCAAAAAAACATTGGTTAAAGTGGTCAGAAATTGCCTCAGATCGCACCACAGAGCATCTAGAATCCAAAAAAATTTCGGGGCCCTTAAGCGGGCCCCGAACCCCACGCCGTAATTTTTTTGACCCACTTTTTGGGGGGACCAAAACTTTTTTGGGGCCCCCCCCCCAATTGTGTTCTGGATCCGCCCTTGATTCCTCTTCTCTCGAAAATGACAGCATGCTAGGCGCAACGATCTCACAGGATGCTTGATCCTATTATTTTCTTACAACGAATGTCACGTGATGTGAGTTCCACCAATCAAATGACAAGGATCTGTATGTCAGATATATAATTCATAATATTTTTGTAGTTCCGTTTTTTGAATGTTTTCAATTGCTGTCAATCGATTACCTTTTTGACAGACTTTTGTAATAGACTGTCTTGTCTTATTAACTGGAAAAACCCCCAGAAATGTATATGTTATTCTTTGGTCACAAAAAACCAACACAAATTCTGTAGGATGTACTGAGACCTGTCATGGCACTTACCCCAATCGGCTTCTAATTCTCTCACGTGACAGGACACGTGACGTATAGGCATTACCATGGTGAAGCATGGTGCTACTTTGCAATTCGACAACATCTGTCTCTCCGTGAAGAACTCCACGATTCTCCATGGCGTCAGCGGGAAAGCAGAACCCGGCAAAGTGCTGGCCATCATTGGTCCTAGTGGTAAGAATTCATAGACACAAAACGTCTTCGGACACAAAATGTCTTCAAGCACAAAAAACATAATTAAAAGATGCGTGCCCAGTGCTCTTCAAAACATAGATGTTTTTCTTCCAACGAATTTTTCAATTTGTATGTTTTAACGAAAACTTTTTGTTTTTCGACTTTGGGTGTCTGTAACACTCTGAAAAAAAGGCTGTCGTTTGGCGCAAAAATTAACCCGCCCTGCGAGAGCCAATTAATATTGTCGGGCCGCAAAAATTTGAATTTTGTAACTGAAAAATCTAAACGTCGGTGGTTTTTTTTCGTTCAATGTCTCATTCAAATTTTCGATTTTCAGTGTGAAATTCGAAATAGCACCGGGAACGCTTCTTTAAAGAGTCATTTGAGTTAAAAACGAAAACAAAACAAGTTGATTGGCCCATATTTAACTTTGATCATTGCTATCATGAATTGAATACATAACACTTGATGCAAAGATGTAAATGAAAAGAAATACGAATTTTTAAAAACATTTCCGAAGAAGATTTAAAAATGATTATGTAATTGAAGTATGATAGCGAGTTTTGAAAAATTATTTGAAAAATTTGCAAATAGCTGTAATTCGTCCTTTTATCGTACCAACAAATGATGTAGTTTTTGAGTCCTGAAAAGCCCATGTAACTGCAATATCCAAACATCATACTTCCAAATGGGTTATTATGTAAATTTGGGGTCCATTTTTTTCCTGTCCCTGTTACATCTGACGAAATAAAAATTGATTTTATGATTCTGATGCACTCCTTAATGCAGTCGCTCTACAAGAGTGATTGTGAATTGCAAACTACCTACACAAAAAATTAAAAAACCACATATTATTTGAAGTAATTCTCCAAGGATGCCTGAAAAGCAAATTGCCAAAGTACCAAGGTAACAGGGACACGGAGTTTGTCACACTTTGGACCCTGAATGTATAGATTGATCCAAATATGATTATAAAAAAATCATGATTTGCTTGCTCAAGGTTCCGGGAAGACTACCCTCCTTCACGTGATCTCAGGCCGTCTAGCGGAGCTGAGCTTCGGTACAGTCAGCCTGAACGGCACGCCGCTGACTAAGGCTCTACGACGTAGGATCGCTCTAGTCCTTCAAGATGACATCTTCTTCTCAAATTTGACTCTCAGGGAGACGCTCTTGGTACAGAAATGTTTGCTTTTCTTTCAAATAAAACTTCGGCCTCTCAATTCTGAAGTAAGATATTTTCAGATAATATTTTTTTTTCAGGAAGCAAGCAAAACTCACACGCTGACAAAAACGAACTGCATGCTGCAGAATTTGTGACTCACATGGCTATTTTCGGTACTTTGTAACTTCGGATTAAAACACATAATAAACACACGTTTTTTTCTTCTAAATTTTTTGAGAATTCGGTGAACCACTCGCGAGTTTTCGAGTAGTACTCGCGAGTATTCTACTACTCGAGTAATGTCTTCGCGAATACTCGAGTTGAAACCAAAAACCCACTGCTCAACCAGGACTACTCTCAACCGCTGTTCCGAACTGGCCAAAATAATCCTATTTATTTCAATGTTAAAGTATACTTTCCGTGCCAAAACATCTCCAATCTTCACATTTTACTTGTTCTTTACCCTTTCTTACCCACAGTTCACTGCGAGGCTTCGCCTTCCGTCAAGCATTCCTTATAAGGCAAAGGTCCAACGAGTGGATGAAATAGTGGACACGCTCGACCTCAACAAATGCCAAGACACTAGTAAGCTACTCCACACAATTCTTGATCTGGTCCCAGAGTTCCAATCTAGTGTCGTATTTCCTGACTCACTAACTGACTGACTGTCACTCTTGTGACGTAAGACTGGTGGTATGCTGCTGAAGGGAGCTGGGCAGTACTATCGTATAGGATTACCCCGTGTATAAGCCAATGGGTGGGCTAAATCAGGCCCATTGTGTAGAACAGATGCATGAAAAGACTTCCAGTGAATAGCCATTTTTGAATCGATTGAATAGAATCTTATCGAATTGACTCGTGTTTTATCCGATCTAAGTGGTTTATTAAACAGATTATTCCACATATTTTTTAAGGTCTTTTACCGATTATTTGCAACTAACCATGTAGTCATCGGGTTTACGGAGCTTTTTGTTTTCTTGATAGGAATTGGTGACTATCTCCGTCGGGGTATCTCTGGTGGCGAGAAGAAGCGAGCTAACATCGCCTGTGAGCTGCTGACTGACCCTGCTGTGCTGATCCTTGACGTACGTCCAATAAAACCAATTAATTATTAATTTTACACCCGGCTGCTGAACACCTGTAAAGACAAATTTAACATTTAATTTCTTCTTTTATATTGTACAGAAGAATCAAGTCAAGATATTTCAAACTATCACTTTTTCCCCATCTATCAAAAAGGAACCCACATCAGGACTGGACTCCACGACTTCATTGCATTTAATACAAACCCTGAAGACGTACGCAGAAAAGACACACAAAACAGTCGTCATGTCAATCCACCAGCCGTCCAGTCAGATCTTCCACCTGTTTGATCACCTTCTGCTATTGGCCGAGGGACAGGTGTGTTCAGCTATTTAATGAATCGATTGTAATGCTTTAATTTTAAAAACTGAAATTGAACATAAGAAGACTGTGTAGACTTACGCTGAAAAGACAAATAAACAGGCGTCATGTCAATCCACAAGCCGTTTAGTGAGATTTTCCACCTGTTTGATCGGCTGGACAGATTATGTATAGCTATTTCATGTTTCATGCTTTCATTTCATTGGGTTTCAGGTAATTTACATCGGCGAAGCAGATCACGCTTTGAACTATTTCGCGAGTTTGGGGCTCCATTGTGAACCCAACTTCAACCCGGCTGACTTTCTGAGTAAGTTACAATAAATCAACAAAATCACAAGATAACAGAATGTCTTTTCATTCTATCGTGAATTCTTTTCTTCAACTTGAAATCGATCTCTGACCATTTTCAGTCGACAAAGCCAAAGGCAGCGAAGAAGAGATGTCCATTCTCTTTGAGGCTGCTAAAAAGAAGTCATGGGGCGTGGTCAAGCTGACGTCACGTGGATCCCAGACACCTGATTGGAGGAGGCCTCGTCACCTGAACCAATCACTACCCGATCAGAGCGACGCACCGCTAGACGAATACTTCCACATTGACACCAGACACCACCATTCAGTTCCACCGAACCAGCGCATGAGGTAGTTGCTCACATTATCTTTTCCTATACACTCTGAAAAATCCCGGGTAAGATTTGATCCGGAATCTAGGTCACATTTCACCCGATACTTTTCAGGGTCAAAATGACACCTTTCCAGGTCAAAATGACACTTCTCTTGATAATTTTGCCGGGTCGTTTTGATCCGAAAGCCTTGGCCAAAGTGTCATTTTGACAGAGAACAAGTGTTATTTTGACCCTGAAAAAGTTTGAAGTCATATGACCCGGAGTCCGGATTGAATATAATCCGGTACTTTTGAAAATTGTACGTAACTACATTTCAAGGAATTGATATGTTTCTTCAACATTAGCTCCCTTTTCTTGAACACTTTTGCAGACCTGTGCATCAGTCAAGCCCCAATTTCTCCCAGATCACAACACCAACCGGCAGAAATATCTGCTTCTCCCGTTTGCCGCCGATAAGCGGCCCCAGCCCCTTGACACCTCCTGAGAGTCCGAACCAGAGTTCTTCCCCGGAGCGAGAGAGCTCCTCGCCGAATCGCCCACGGACGGTGAGTGGGGGGTCGTCCAGCAGCGACGTGGGCCGGAGGGAGCGGCGGAACACGGTGGTGACGATCTCGGGAGTCTTCGGTGGCTATCACAACGGCGTCATGTCCGAGTTGTCGTTCTCAGACTCCTACAAAACGCCGAGATTCGGCAAGAAGCAACTGAAGACGAGGAAAGTCAGCACGTCTTCCGGGAACGAGGAAAACGACCCCTCGCCAAAATGGCAGACGACATTCCTGGATCAGCTCCACACGCTGACGCAGCGTAACTTCAAACAGTCACGTGACATCCTCCTGTCCAAGTTTCTGATTGTGAAGAATATCTTATTGGCTGTGGTTGTTGGGTTGCTATGGTTTCAGACCAGCCATGACGAGACGAGGATCAACGATATTCGAGGCTATGTAAGTTTCTACTTTTTTTCAGTTTCAAATTTTTTTTAGTATACGACATTATTTTGAAAATAGATTTATATTTTGGTGAAGATAGCTACGAATGCTTTTAAAAAATGACACGGAAAAACTCAACTTGATTCTTTTGAAGCCTCGGTATCGGGCAACTTCTAAAAAGAATAGAGATTGCCGAAACAGGACATATTGCTTAACTTTAAAGTTTGAACCATTCGTCCCCAAAGGTTCAAAAGTTAATGAAGACATTTGAAATGAAGTCGGAAAGAATTGTTGCACTGAACGGCTCAAGTGTCGCTGTGACCTGCGAAAGTCCGAGAACCAGTGCATTTTCCACCGAACTAAAACCGTTGGACGGTCTTAAATGAATGCCTAAACTTGATTTATCATTAATCAGTTTGTCCAATTTTGGTTTTTGTTTTTGGTACAGTTCTTTTTCGGTTTGGTCTACTGGGGCTTCGAGTCGATGTTCCTGATCATGAATGCGTGTAAGTATAACTTAACACGTTTATTAAGTGTTAAGATGAAAAACTACACCCAATACCCTTATTTTTCGTAAAAACAAAATCGTTCAAGTTAATTTTATAAATCTCTGACTTAATATATAATAAATGTCAATCTCAACAAATTTGCAAAATTCGTCGTGATACGTAGGTACTAAATTAGGCACAAATGACAACATCCGTAATGGTTGTTGTTGTTGTTTTTTTTTTTTAAATGAAACTCGTCTTTTACAAGACTGAAAGATGTAATAATTATACCTCTACTATATCCTAAAAGCTGAATTGTGAATGTATTCCACTTGCGCGAACAATATGCTATAAAACCTTTGCCCAAGTGGGACTTCTATTTGCCACCAACGTCTGTGAACGTTCGCAACAAAGGCGAACGGTCTGAGTCGTTCGTTATGGATTTTTTTCAAAATGGCCGGCACACATCCATAAACGTATTAAGGATCCTGTCGGGGCTGAAACGTTCCGTTCTTTACATCTTAAGTTCATACATTTATTACTGGCAACATATCACTACAAGTCACAATGTTACAAGCCGATCCAAACAGAGACACTTGTAGGACTGGCATATACTGGGCGCCGCTATTTTGACAACGGTTCTTCGTTGACAGTATCGCTCCACTTGGGGTTGCACGTTCGCAGGGACTAGCAAAAGAACGCCAACACGTTCGCGTGACTTGAACGGTATTTAATAATTCGTTGTTTTCTTCAAGCAGTTCCCGCCGAACGAACCGTGGTGAACAAAGAGCGTTTGTCCGGAGCTTACCGACTTTCTGCTTACTACCTCGCGAAGATGATAAGCGAGTTACCGCTGACTCTCATCATGCCGACTATCTACTTCATCATCACGTATTGGATGGCGGGCCTCAACGCTCATCCTGTGGCCTTCCTTTCGTCGTGGTGCGCCATGCTGGTCAACGTCTTGGTTGGCGAGGTTGGTATTGAGTCGAACTTTGTCAAAAATATGACCAAACCCAATAAAATAACTTAGAAGTCGTCAGACCAACTTTTACGTTACAAGCCCTAAGAGCCACGCAACAAAGTAACCCCCAATGTGGTGACAGAAACCTCGCAAATTGAAGATAGGACTGGTACCAAGTACTCTGTGAAATTATTCCGCCTGAAATGGTATCGTTTGGAAGAAAAGAAACATTGGTTACGAAATAGGGTGCCGGTAGCAATTTGTTTTACCTTTTTACTTTATGTAGCTTCATCTTTTATGCTTATGAGGTTCCTTATGAAAGGAATCAAACTGTGCCTCAATGATGTGGTATTCATTGTAATGGATGGATCCACTAAGCCCCGCCCCGCCCCGCGATGTTTTGACCAATCGCTAGCCGTGATTATATTGTCCGATGCGCGCACTTATGACGCGCCCGTGCGCATTGGCGGAGGAGATGGGCACTTGCCCATGTGCATGGGCGGGGCTTATTACTCGGTCTATTGAATAATGAGGATTTACCTTAAGGGGTAAAAACATGAATAGCCTAAGTCTGTGACTACATGTATTTTGTCTTTCACTATTATTGTAGTCCATTGGGTTGTCCATCAGTGCTTATGCGCCGTCCATCCAAGAAGCAGTGATCATTGTATCATTGTACATGCTGACTACCCTCATACTGGGCGGATTCTACATTGAGCAACTACCAGTGTGGCTGGAATGGACTAGCTACCTTTCGTACACGTTCTACTTCTTCACACTTCAGATGCAGTTTGAGTTCGGACTATACGGAGAACCAGTCAAGTAAGGATACAACTTCACATTTATCGTGGAGTCCCCTGGCCCCTATACGTACTGGGCACACGGACGTTTTCCCCAACTTTTCTCACGCAGTGTTGCCAAATATCTTTCTTAACAAGCTTCACATTCATTGAGTTAAACACTGGCACTATTACCTTAGTAATGCTTGCTGTTGAACACTTGTGAAAAATAAAGTTCGTGCCACGAAATTTAGTCCGGGAAAAAACGATTGCGTCCGGAAATTGGGCACAAAATCGGCCGAGTGTTCCCTATTAACGTGGCGCACTCGAACAAAACCCGGAAATTCACATGTGAACATTAAAAAATTTCTTTTTAAAGTTGACAAATTCTGATAAACCAAATATTACACATTTCAAATACGTATTTATCAGAAAACTATTTTCTTTTTCTCTTTGACTTTGAGCATATTTTAAAAGGGTTCATTGCGCACTTCAATACCAAATCTGAAAATCGCGCCAAAACTGAAATGTATCCCTTAACTGTGTATAACGGGTACTGGTTAACTCTAGGTTTTATTTGAGGCGATGTTTTACCGTTATAATTAAGCCTCTTAAAGTGCCACACCTCCATGACCTCGGAGTTAAAGCAAACAACAATTTCACTGTATACTTACCGCAATTGGCTCGTCAAACCATGTAGAGGTAAAAAGGTTTTTAGCGCACGGTGCTCCAACGTCGACTGTTTCACTTTATGATTTTCATTCTTGACTATTTCGTGTACACATGTATACAGATGCAGAGAGGTGAACAGTATCTTCGAAGCGTGCCATCAGAGTCCCAACGTGACACACGTGGACAGCGTCGAGGTACTAGACCAGGTCAGACTGTTACCGTTGTCGATACAGGCGATTTGTGGAATAGTCGTCGGGTTCCTGGTGTTTTTCCGCCTTCTTGGATATGTAATTCTGCGTTTCATTCGTACGCCTGTTTAAAATCATTTTCAGGACACTTTTTTGAGACAAAACCAATAATGTGCTCATTAATAAGACGTTTTGTCCACGCCCCAAAGCCCTGCTTGTTATCCCGAACGGGGTTGAACGCCCTCTTGCGGCCATTTGGAGTAACACAAAATTTTAAAGGTGACCAGTTGTCATTTCTTGTCCATTCATTTAAAGGACATTGTATTCAAGTTCTCCGACTAGTACTATAGTACATCCGACAAAAGAACTTTTTGAACAAGTAAACTGTCTACTTGGCGGTTGAAAATATCTTTGACAAAGGGATTAAAAATTGTGATAATTAAGTTCAACAGAAGACTTTGCAAAACAGTTTGAGACCTTTATGTGGCTGGCCCACAAGATATCAAGTGTGAACAATTTAAAATAAGCAAGCAAATTTAATATTAAAATGTATTCAGGAATATAATATTCAACTTGTAAATTGGAGATATGTGCCAATTTTGTTCAAATTTTCAAATCTTTGCAAGTAAATTGCAACCATTGTCAAGCTCTACATAAAAGGAGAAAATAATGATTGTATTAAAGTGAAAATTCTTATTCTCTTAACTGTTTTGTTTCTGTTGTGGCTAAAAATTAATGTTTTGAAAAACAAAGAAACAAAAATGGTCAAGCGAGTAATGCAAGTAAAAGAAGAGACGACAATTTGTTTTTCATGTTAATTCAAAGCAAGTTGATTTTGCATTTATTTTTGTAATGTTTGGGTACGATACCCTATATCATACTGATTAATACTTCAAGTAATTATTAACTTAAAATGTGGATGAAGTAAATAATTAAAGACATCTAAAGCTAGATGTTTAATTCTAAAATGCTTTTGTGTATTTTCAATAAGTTCCTTTTTTGTTCCTATACTAGATTTATATAATTTGTTAAGGGCGCTACGTACATCAACAAAGTAGACCGTAGGCCTATGTGGATTGGTTGGTAACCCCATTGGTTCTGCCATTGTAACTACATGTACGCCTAAAACTGGTACCCTCCTAAACTGTTATGATGGACTCAACGTAAAATCTAGATATACAACAAAAAAAGGATTTTTGTTTTAGCAAATGTGAAATCCTGAACATGTTAAAACCTTATTGGTCGCGATAATCCTTAGCGAGGCTAAATACATGTACACACAAGGCAATACAGATGTTAACCTCGTACAAGAAAAGACAAACTTTTTTATAGTAATTCTGCTTACACATTTTTTTTTTATCAATTTTTCTATCTAAACAAACTACATTGAGTGAGTATTTTAAGTGCTTGACAAATGCATGTGAACTTCACTCCAAAAAACTAAGACAATTTGCCAGTAAGCATGCTTGGAAGGCACACGGCTCTTTCCAAGCACGCCAAATGCCAATAAACATCTTCTGGATTAAAGTCGATGATTTTTCAGCACTACTACTTAACTCTTGTTTATTTCTACACGTCTCCCCAAAAAAATGCCTTTCAGTTTAATAACCAAATAAAAAAAAACCTATACATCATTATTTTTTACATTATTATTATTATTTTTTTTACATACTAGAGAAAAATGTCGGACTGGTTACGGGAAATACATTTTGAAATTTGTTCAACTACTACAGAGACCAAGGCACAGTTTGTTAAGATCAAAGCTGACGACTGCGTGAGCAAACTGGGCCTGGCTTAACCATCTTAAACTGTACACACAACTTCACCGAATGACAAAACTGGAAACGGAAGTCAATTTTATTTTAATACAGAAAGGCAAACCCTTGTTTCGTCAAGGTGTGGCATGGAAATAACTGAATTCAACTACGACTATCGCACAATGGCCGGACAGCGGCAGACATGTTTTAGTGAAGTGTTTCGTGTGCAATCAATGATAAACATTATTAGTTGAGCGTGAATGTAGCACGGAATATTATCTTCAAGCAAACTTGAATCCTCGTTCCTGATTGGTCGATCCATGGCAACAAGCCATGCTACATATAACCATGTAGCACAGCCACAGTCCATATCGCACTCCGCTTACTTCGCTTTTCGAAGATGCGCGCGCCATTCCGTACAACATGAACGTGCAATAGGAAAACAACACAACAGCTGAAAAGATCGTGTACAGCGTGCGTGTTTACATTCTTACAATGCGTCAAATTTGCTTAAAGATATATTTGTTATCGCTCTCGCGCTCGTGGAACCAAAAATGTAGTGCATCTGTGTCCCACATGTGGCACGAGACACAGACGCACTACATTATTCCGTTTTCCACTGGCGGGATAACTTATAATACCAAACTATTGTTGCCATGGATCGACCAATCATGATCGAGGATTCAAGTTTGGTTGAAGATAAAAATTTTACCTTTGATGTTTCATGAACGCCGGCACGTATTTTAAGACTTTTGGGGTGTTTTTTGCACTTGGGGATAATCACATCCTCCGACTTACACACAGTAGCCAACAAGCCAGTTTAATTTGTACTGAAATTCATGATGAAACTGTATACCTTAAAACAAAACCTTTCCTAACAAAAACATGCTGAAGTTCGCTTGCATCGACATTTGAAATATTTTGTAAGGGGCCAACATACAGACAACATGTCCCAAGACGACAACACTCGGCGCAACACGGAACATACAAAAATACAGCTCTTGGCCAAATAAACGAGGGATTTACGATGGGGAAAAAAAATTGACAAAATCTGGAATTTTTTTACACACTGTCACATGGATATTACAAAATTCACTTTAATTTCTCTTGTAAGATTACATTTCGGGAAAAAAAGGAAAGATTCTGGACCATTCCTCATCTTTGTGGTTACGGAAACAGAAGCAATGATCAACAAAAGCTCTGGAAATAATGAGCATTTTATGCAAAAATTCCAGAAGCAATCCTGTGACTTCCCAGTCTTCGAATATTAAACAGGTATCTTTTTTTTTTCAATAAAATCTTTTTTTAACACGCCCTTACAAACATACAGGCCACTTTTACTTTACGCACATGGAAATAATGCAACGTAGCTGTCAGTGTGCCTAGTGAAACATGATGTTCCCTGCTGTTTCCGATAACGTTTATCCGCTCTGAACATGCCCAGTAGAGGGTGCTATTTAGCTGCTCCGTTAATCACCCGATGGCGAATATCAAGATTTACAACATCTTTTAAGAGATTGGAATGTGGCCAAGTGGATGGGTTTGTGACTCATGATCAGAGGGTCAGGGGTTCGAATCCGGCTGCTGTCCATATGTTATGTCCATGGGCAAGCCACTTTACCGCACTTGACTTTCTCCACCCAGGAGTATGAATGGGAACTGGCAATAGCTGGGGAGTAACCTGCGATGGACAGGCATCCTGTCCAGAGTGAATAGAAATATTCTCAGTTGTTTCATACGAAGGAAACCAGAGATAAACGCTGTCCTGATGAGACATATTGGATCGTGAGAGACTTTACTTGCTAATAAAGAGATTGCAAGTGAAAAGTTTTTCGAAAGTGATTGATATTCCCCATTTTGTTGCCGCTTTGGGTGACCATTTCCATTCCACTGGTACGTACAGAGCGGACACAAGATGACTGATCATCGCTTGTGTTTTAACTTCCCTGTCATTTCTTACTAACGCTTTCTGTCTGGGTACAAAACCAATAACAGACCGGATGACGGTGGCCTAGAGAAGAGAGCACTTCTTTTTCTTGGGTGGTTCTGGGGGCTCTAAAGCCGCCAGGATAGCCTCGTCGAACACATTCTTGAGTCCTTTCTGTGAAATAAAAAAGCCAATACCAAAATATTACACTATGGATGAAAAACGATAAAATAATGAGATGTTGTGATGCTGCCATAGCTATTGACCCTGTGCAGAAGTACCCCCTCAATTGGTTACAAGGAGAGAGTTGCCAAAAAAAATCAATTTTATCTTAATTTGTTCAGTGAAGGCACTGCGTCAATCCTAACTGCTGTTATTATCCTCGTCCAAGATGTTGAGATTATTTAAAAAGTTCCGCAGCTCTGCCAAGTTTTGTGAAATCGATTGTAAGTTTATTGCACAGCTGCACAATCAATTTGTTGCATAAGCCCTAGGCATGATGAAGGTTACGCACTGTTTCATGAAATTGGCTGCTGGTTGATTTTGGAGGATAGAGGATGGTAGGGTTAGAAAGATTTCATTTTTGCTGTTTGTGGATTAGACTGGTTATCTATCTCACTGACTGACGCTTGAGAATTAGACTGGTTACCTATCTCACTGACTGACTCACTTGTGAATTAGACTGGCTACCTATCTCACCGACTGACGCTTGTGAATTAGACTGGTTACCTATCTCACTGACTGACTACCACTTGTAACTTAGACTGGTTACCTATCTCACTGACTGACTACCACTTGTAACTTAGACTGGTTACCTATCTCACTGACTGAAGCTTGAGAAGTAGACTGGTTACCTATCTCACTGACTTACTGTCACTTGTGAATTAGACTGGTGTGGGAGCAGATTGACAAGGCTGCCCATTTATATAAGTCTTGTAGCATGTTCACCAGATGCGCATTAGTCTGGTGCAACTTATTTCATGTACTTGCACGATACACGTGTAAGCGATTTGGTGCGCTCTGGGACCAGCCCTTCTAATCTTGCCCCGCTTTGTTTCTGTATCTTACCTGTGTGAGGGCGGAGCATTCCACAAACTTGACGGCCTTGAGTTCTCGGGCCAGCTTCTCGCCTTGCTCCACGGTGATCGGCTTCTGTTTGTTCTTGCTCAGCTTCTCGATGGTCGACGAGTCATCGCGTAGATCAATCTGCGTACCGACTAGCAGGTAGGGGGTCTTGGGACAATGATGCGTGATTTCAGGTGACCACTGTGAACAGAAAAGACAGGGTCAATTAAATATCAAGATATTTTGTAAAAACCTATAAATTGTATGCAAGAAATCCTAAACAAATCCAGGAGAGCCGCTTTTAGTTGCTGATTGATAATCTCTTTTTAATAGAAAATAGTGCAAATATACCATATACAGTGGAACACCGCTATACCGAACATTCGGCTGCTTGGCTCCCGAGTTTTTGGTACAAAACGTACTGAACATTGTTGTTGAAAAATGTCATCAGAAGAGCGACAAGTGGCTATTATTTCCCCAAGGAATAGAAGGGGAAAGCCCCCCATTGCTGTAGGTAGTAAGCTCAAAACTGTGTAATGACATTATTCAATAGTCGGCACATGCTCAAAGTCATCTTTCAGTAACTATAAGTACCAGGACGTGCAGGGTAAAGTTCTGAAGGGCGCTACTTATTGAAAAGTGAGTACCAGAGCACCGGCGGCTAATTAAATTGTTTTACCGAACGATCGATATTACGAACAATTTCTGTGGATCCTGCGATGTTTGTTATAGCGGCGTTTCACTGTATAGAAATGGGAAGACTCTCTCATTTTTTATGCATTACTATGAATATTCAAAAAGTCAGTAGTGACTAGAAAAAAAATAAAATATGTAAGAACTGAAATCAATATAGATTCACTTTGGACTTTCTACCACTATCGCATAAATATTCATAAGATAAAGGTATTGTATAGCATTTGCAAACATTCACAAATGAAACTGCCACAATGTTATGAACTAACCTATTCGATTGAAGTTAAATTATATAAATATTGTGGGCAACTTTTGGGGCAAATTTTGTCAATTTCGGTGACGGACAGATATGCAAAATAAACACGCATGCGACCAAAAATGCTGCACGCACAATGATCGAAACGAAATCGTTGCTCCGAAAAATCGTCGTCAAGAGTGCATTTTATGATCAAGGCATGGTATTCAGTCAGTCAATTATTTTTGGTCAATTTTCCAGGGACGGACAGACAGACAGACAGACTGACTGATCAACCACCAAGTGACATGTAGAAGTTCCTGCCAGAGCTCAAAAGAATGAAAATGGTATACAACACCTTTAAATCATTACGCTGTGTCTTTACAATGAATGTAATTTGTTCACAGGGTTATGGTACAAGCTGCCTCTAATTTTAGATGTATGCGTGAGATGAACGCAGACTAACCTTCTCTTTGACATTTTCAAATGAGGATGGTGAAACGACAGAAAAACAAACAAGGAAGACGTCTGTCTGTGGGTAGCTGAGGGGTCTCAGTCGATCGTAGTCTTCTTGACCTGATTCATAAAAAAAACAAAGAAATGCTATTTATAATACTGATATTTTGAGGATAAATTCATTCTTTTAGCGCATTCAAAAATCAATTGAAAAGACATTCACCTAATTATTTTTTGGGGGAGCTGATTGAAAAACAAGTGCGAGTGCACAATAAGCTCTGGCTGTGTTGCAAAAAGTCTTGCATGAAATCGATCAAAATGATCCCTGCCAGAGCTGAAAAATGCCACGCCAAAAAAAACCGATGCCGATGGCAAATATGGAACACCGTACTTTTGGTCAATTTTCGGGACAGACCGACCGACCGATCACCAAGCGACATGTTCCTGCAAGAGCTTTAAAAACCAGTAAATGTATGAAACAGGTTCACACAGGAACCTTAAAATTAAATTTCATGACTTTTCAAGGACAAAATGACGGCTTTCCATGGCCAATTCCTATGCTGTTTTGGCATCTTAGGAGCTGATTTACAATACACTGGCCAGTCATTACACTGAGGCAAGGGACACCACTCCCTTTCAGCCTTCCAGTTTGACACATGACCACTGAGCACCACGAAAGCATCACAATGGTGCACTGAACATGCACCAAGTATAAAGCATACAAGCATAAAGAGGAAGTATAGCAAACTGAAAGACTGCCATAGCAAAATATAATGCATCATCACGTATGGGTTGTACAGGATGACTCCATGACATTTCTGTGCCTTTTTCCCTTGAATATCAATTTTCCATGACTCCTTGTAAACTAACAAAATTCCTTGACTTTTCCATAGCTTTCCATGATAGCTTGAGATTCCAGTATTTTCCGGGAGTTTTCCATTTCTGTGGAACCCTGATGTTAAATTCTCGATAAATGTCATCCCTTTTTTTCCCCAGACAAACTTTATATCAAGACGTCTTATAGATGTGTAACACCGCTCTGGAAGACCAACTATTCATTGAGTGACGGAGTGAATTTGTTATCAATTCATGAGATGTCTCAGATGCTTGTTATAAATAGTGTACACTAAATGATGCGAACAATTTGTACAGTAGAGTCATGCGATGAACTTGAGTTAAATTCACAAAGTCCAAAAATACACAAACATTAAATTCACAAATTGATATCAATGATATTTTGCATTAACCCTAACCCACCTCACTCCTCCAAAATCCTCCTGGCGGTTTTGGAGGATTTCAGAGGATTGAGGATGAATGGTGATTGAATCAAATGAGGATTCTGGAGGATTGAGGATGAATGGTGATTGAAGCACATGAGGATTTTGGAGGATTGAGGATGAATGGTGATTGAAGCACAAGAGGATTTTGGAGGATTGAGGATGAATGCATTTTGAGGCAGGACTGTCTGATGATTTTAAAGGATTTGGCGTTGGTTATCCTTCATTTAAACACGAGTGCAAAGTTTTGGGATGAGGAGGATTTTGGAGGATTGAGGATGAATGCATTTTGAGGCAGGACTGTCTGACAATTTTGAAAAATTTAGGCGGAGTTGCAAAATTTTGGAAAATTTTGGAGGATTTTGGAGGATTGAGGATGGTTGTAAGCAACAAGGGCCTAGGGGGTTAGGGTTAAACCCTAACCCCTTGAGCACTCTAACTGGAAAGTATTCTGAATGCGCCAAAATCCACCTATTGTGTCATGCACAAAAATGTTGGTGTTGGTGACTGCTCAGTCTGGAGGTAACAAAATCCTGCATTCACCGCTAGGCTTACAATCCTGAATCCATCAAAATCCTCTTTTCAACATGGAGATATTCTGAATCTACAGAAGTACTCCAAAACAGGGGTATGGATTTTGATGGATTCAGGGTGGTTAGCGTTAAACATGTTAACAAAAACTACTCTGTGGCTCAGTAGCTTCTATAATTAAGTGCCTACTATAAATTTTTAGAAAACACAAAAACAGACCTGGGGGGGAGGGGTAACTGGATTCTGTTGCAAACGCAGAGCAAAAGTTTATAAAACCACCTTCGGTGATTGTTTTCTTTTGATCAAAACGGTTTCTCTCGGATTAATTTTACAGGGTATTTCCCGCATATACACATACGTTTAAAGAATAACAGTACTAAAAACACTGCTACCATCACTATCTACCGAGTATTATACACCCTGCAGTTTGATGAGTTTAGGTTTGGTTGGATTTATAGACACAGGATGTTAGATTATAATCAGAGAATCCTACAGGAAACGCAAAAACTGATACAATGCAAGCAGCCAAGCAAGGCTTGCTCAGTGCAGACAGTATTATTGTTCAGTAATTTGCAGCTGACAGTGGGACTTTTCTCTGAGTTAAAATGAAATGATTTACTCGGAAAGATTTACTGCGAATTCAATCAGTTTTGGTTTCCGTCTGATTGCATGCTTTGACTGATTTACATTGTGGTCGAACGGTTCACCACAGAATATATATTTACTTTTGTTCTCTCCCTTCCGCAAAATCAAACTAAACAAAAGCGCTTTGCATCCGGAGAGCAGAGTGCGCTATGTAATTGATACTTCCTGCTTTCTGTTGGAACCAAATCCAGAGGAAGTCGTATCTGCTTATGGCCTCGTTTCATATGTTTAAAGGTAGCGTCCATCATTTGTAATTTAAACATTATGTTCATTTGAAGCAACAAAAGTGTTCAAACTCTAAAGGGTGCTGAACAACTAAGCTGACAAAATTTCAATTCAGTGAATGCTGTATATTCCGAGAAAACAATATTCTAGGGTCTTGATTTCAAATCAAAACTTGCTGAGCCATGTTTTGAATTGGGCCTGAATTCAGCGTCCGAGACACGTTCTCTCCGAGCAGATTGCAGCTAGGCGATGTTGTGCAGTGAATCGACAAATTATAGCAACCATGCGCACGTGTGGGTCGTGTTACCGCTTGCGCACTTCGCCGAATTAAAAAAAAAACTTCTAATGGAAATTTCCAACAATGCGTCTTTGGACTCATCGTTGGAAAGGCCTTCTTTCATTGATTTCTTCAAAATGACAGCTTGCCAGAAAGAATAATTTCACAGGGACAATAGCATGCACAATGCTTTCCGCCATTAAAGGGGGCCTCTGTCAGCGAACATTGATAGTGTGCTCAGGATTGTCTATACTTTGTGGTGTGGTTTAAAAATATATAATTGTCGCTTCTTTTTGGACTTCTTTTTGGAAGTTTTAACTTTAAATTAGACAAAGTACATTTGTCAGCAGGTGTAGAAGGCATTGGCTATGGTAAAGATGAATCACCGTAGGATCACCCAAAGGCAGGGCGGTTCCTAGATTTTCCAGCTTAAAAGATGTCCAAGCGCTGAAGGGGCTCAAACCCGTTAACTTTAATGCAACAAAGTATTACCACACAGTAGGAATTTTGCTGGATTTCGAAGAGAGTACAAGCGTGGACAAGCCTAGACTCAGAGTGGCTATTCGCTAAAAGTCTTTTCATGTATCTAAACAATGGTACACTTTAGCCCATTCATTGGCCTAATGCTTTGATCAACGGAAGTTCAGTATAAAGACATGTTTATTTTAAACATACCTGCTGTGTCAAATAATCCCAGTGTGTAGGGTTCTCCGCCGATCATAACTGTCACAGCATAGTTGTCAAACACCTAATGTAGAAATAACAAAAACAAATACATTTATTTAATCTCCAAACTTTTGAAGTAAAATGTTATCGTTATTATCTCGGATACGTGGATACAAACACATTAACCCTAACTCCCTAGCATGATTTACTAGGAACCACACCCATCATGGCAAATTCCAACACCATATGTGAAACTGCTCACACATATTTCTGACTTTGATTCTAGAGGTGTGTCAACGCAATGAAAAAGACTGTCAGTTTAGGGGTATTAAACCCATCCTGACAGATTCCAACAAAACATGCCGTTGCGGTTAGATGGATTGAGTTCTGTTAGGGTTAAAAACAAACACTTATGTAAATCTGTATTTGTTTTAAAAAAGAATGTCCGACAAGTCATCTTGGACATGACACACGTCTACATTCCTGTGTATATATATAGGTTCAATCCAATGTAGAAAATCATGAAGCTTGTGTCCTACAGCAAGCCACTTTACTTCAATTTCTGATCCACATCAATGATTCAAACACAAACAGTGCGTAAGTGAGCTACATGTATGTTAAGTTGGTTGCGTTAACCGCTGCTATATCAGATTCAAACCAGCCAGCTGACCCCGGCAAGCTTGATGGTCGAGTGGTAAGATGTCTGCACTAGTAAGCAGGAGGTCGTGGGTTCAAGTCCCACCTTAGTACACTTGTGAATTATTTCTCGCAAACCCTCAGACAACACTGAGTATACAGTGTTTATGAAATTGGGTCAGTGAACGGTACTCAAGTTCACCAAAACAGTTAATCAGAAAGATTGACATGAATATTCATGTACAGAAACTGTACATGTAGGAGTGGACACACTGTAGTACCATTATGCATTACGGAGCCTGTATGACAATTGTGGTGGAGTGACGCACTTGACATCAAGGTTGTCACTGTGAACACAAAGCACTGTGGTCATGTGTGACGGGGGAATGAACTGATCGTCAGCCATGCATATCCTCTCAAAGGAAATGCTTGGGTGAAGTTACCATACCCTGAATTGTAATATCAATAATTGAACCAAAGGCTTATTCCTGGTAATTTTCAAATACAAAGGATGTATTGTAATCTATATAACCAGCTGAAGACATTTCCCTTTTGTTTAGCACAAAAATACTGTGTTGAAAATGGATTTACATTTTTTTAATGTACAGTACCATTTGCCAACAGTGAAATTTTCTTAAATTTACATACCCGCGCTCTTAAAAAATTTGAGGGTTTTTTTTTGGGGGGGGGGGGGGGGTACCTGCAATTTTCATTCACAAAATGAAAATTTGATTTGCTCACAAATGAACCCACCATGTAGAGCTGAATTACTGTCAAGCCGCATATGATGCAAGTTTTGTAAAGAAAGAATTCAATAATCAACTGTCAGTGGAATGTTTTCGTTTGATGTCACGTTCAAAATGTGAACAATATTTAAATTGTTAGAAAAATAGCTATTGAAAAATAATTATTATTTTTTGGGATTAAAGTCCAACTAGCGAAGATGAATGCAAAATATCATATTTCAAAGGTTGACTAAAATCATAGTAATGTACAAAACCATCATTGAAGTTATAAGTTTTTAAAGTCTTACCGTTGGTACATATTCAGATGGGAATTTATTTGTTGTGTAGGAGATCAGCAAGCATGTTTTGCCCACGGCTCCGTCGCCGACCACGACACATTTAATCGTCTGCATGGTGTTTAGGTTCTGCTGATTCTACACCATAGATTCACTCAACCTAGGAAAAAATGAAGAAAATTAATTAATCAGTTGAAGCCACAACAAACGTATCTGCTAAAAATATATCTACTGCCACTGTTATGGCCAAAGGCTGTCACTAACACGTTCAAGTATCCCCCTCACTCTGTTACTAGAATTTGGATTGGGGGGGGGGGAGGGGGGGGGGTGCCCGGGTGTCATACTAACGACCATCAACTGTCGCCAACTGCCACAATAACCGTCAACTTTCTGCCAACTCCTTCAAAACGCACTCTAAAATGACGAAGAGGTACAGCACTGTACTATGAGCCAAAAGAGAATTTTGACTGGTTTGACTTTTGTTTTTGTTTATTTTTAACCTTCCCAAAACCTCTTTGCAAAATGGAGGATTTTGCAGGATTGACGCTACATGGCAAACATTTTGGAGGATGCACTGTGTCAAGGCCTTGTGCACATGGAGGATGTGCACATGTGTGGTTATGGGCCCCATTCCTAGTACAAGGGAATGAAAATCCACTTTTAGGTTTTGGAGTCTCCCAATTAGTTAGTGATGTTTAAAACAAAACCAACACGAATGTTGTTAATAGAGGGCAAGGGGTTTGATAGTTTGGGGAATTTTGTTAGTAAAACAATGAGGAAGATGAGAACACACATCACGAATATAAATGAATAAAAACTGCATTGAACTATATGGTATCAACTGAAAAAAGGCATAAAATGTACTGTTCAAAATTACACCAAATAGGGGCATTTTTATAATATTAAAAGAAGACTTCTGATATAGTTATAAAAAATAAGTTACAGCTGCAGAAATTATTTTGGAGTGGTTGAAGTGATCCAACATGTCCTAAGGTATATAACAAACACTTATATTTATAATCAGTGAAAGTGATTGATTGATTTTTAGACATGTCAGAATATTTATATTTTTTTAAAAAGATTCCCATATATCTGCCCAACACTTGACATCCTGTGCACAAACCCAATGAGAGTTGAGACTGGTCTGAAAATTTCTAAGTGTTTTCTCAGTAAATACTAGGCCTACTTCTCTAGTTTCCCTGTTAACTTTGACTTTTTAGGACATATTTAACATATTAAATATCACTTTCTGATGGCCGATAGGTTACTGAAAGGAAAACAATAGTGATTGTCAGATATGGGAATCGTTCCAATTTTTTTAAAATTGTCTCAGTGCCTTTAATTTTCATGTCATTTGTACACCAACATCACATGTTGCACCCATATTAAGAATCCAACACATGTCACACACTTTATTTAAAATAACATTAAAAATAAAAGAGTACATTTACAAACATGATGAAAGTTGTCAATAATTATACATCATTTAATCCAGACACCAATCATTTGGTTGTGTACAAAGTCTATGGATCCTGCCTGGAGTGCATTTTCTAACATGTCAAAGTATTTTTTGTAACAACTTGAACTTTGTCATGTTTGTCATGTTTGTGAACAAGATTGGAAATGTCTCTCAAAAAACAGATTCATGTCTTTTCAAAATTTGTGCAATGACTGACCTTCATTGAGATAATATATGATAAAAAAAGTGGCGTCAGGATGCAAAGTTCTTCCTAAATGAGACAATTATTGCTAGCTTTCGAGAAAATGTCACCCCGGAAATGCAATGAATCTATAGTGTCGGAAATAGACGGTCTAACATATATAAATCAGCTTATTTAATACACTCGCCGCGTAAAATAACGATCCCATCACTTACCTTACGAACAACAAAATGGCACAATTCAGAAAACAATCCTCCTTAAATATCACTATAAATAACCATCCACCTTCCCTAAGTATAGACCATTCAGGAGATATAATACTTCATTAGAATTTGACAGTTTTAGCACTCCTTTCAAGTTTTTCGACGTCTATTTTGGGCGTTGGTGAACTTACCACTTTTGCCGGGTTTCCGCCTACTTGAGTCAGGGTTTCAGTTTAGCGATGTGCGCATACTGTTTACGCATAATATTATAATTTTTGGATGATGTCATTTATTTTTCCCAAATTTGATAGAGGGCGTCGATCCAACTTCTATTTTTAGATCAAAGCGGGTATAAAAAGAGGATGAAATTTTGGTTGCAGACCAATAACTCAAAGTGCTATTCCTCCATGCATAGACTTTAGTGATAAATTCCCACACTTCCAAAAAATCTGGAAAAATACTCACAACTCTCGATTTGTTTGAGACACATCAAATCAAAGCTTATTTCATCATCTTTCAAGTTCTTATTTTCTGTTTATTTATTTATGTTTTTAATTAAAATTTAGGAATTTTAGGGCCCAAATGTATCTAAAATCCTAATTTCATAGAAATACGAGCTCGCAGTCCTGTGCATACACAGATTCCACCCAATTTGTTTTGTTCACAAAACCTTCAAGTTCTATAGCCGACGAAATGTTCTAATAAATAGCATAGAATTCTGCGCCCTTAAAGTTGATCCCCGTGCTTTTTTTCAGTTTCACCCCGAAAAATTGATTTCATTTTTGATTTTTTTTGTGTACAAGCAATCCACAAGTTATTCACAAAAAATCCGTCAAAAATATTTGTGGTATAGACTTACTTTACAAATTTCAAGTATAATTACGGCCAAGAATAATTCACGTGTTTATTGTGTTTGTGCGCAAAATTAAAAGACACACACAATAAAAGTATCTTTCCAGAGAGTGGAAAAAAGTCTGATATAGAAAAAAAAACATTTTGTTTAGATTTAAACGAAACTTACAAATTGTTGTTTTCGATTTAAACCACACAAATTAAAAATTTGTTGGGAGGAAATATACTGAAGGTAGATGACTTAATTTAAAAGAAAATAAATGAAATCAATATTTGAAAGTAAAAAATACCTATTTAATTAAATAAAACCATATTTATACCATGAAAACAATGACGGGAGTTAGCTGTGTTATCCAATTCTTTCATTATCCACGCGTTCAGAAAAGTAGCTTCAAAAAAAAAAAAAAAAAAAAAACTTATTAAAAGTGTTTTTCATTTCTGGGGGATCACTAAAAAGTTCACAGGAGAAAAAACGTTGATCCAAACAATTGTTCTTTCCCCACAGTATCATGTATTCAGAAATCTGGACGTATTCAAAATATGGAATTTTTTTGCGTCTTAATATGAATAGTTCATGCGGTACCCGCTGCTATGTACATCAAATTCGAACCAGCCAACAGATCCCGTTAGCTCGTTGGTCGAGTGGTAAGACATCTGCACTAGAAAGCAGGAGGTCGTGGGTTCGAGTCCCACCCGAGTGATTTTTCCAACCTTCACTCCGGGAGGTAACACACTGAGTATACAGTGTTTACATGTCGATGAAGGACAAAACCTAATTTTATATCCAAAATAAAATTGCCAACTCCCCCCGCCCCCCCTTTCAAAAAGAAAGCCTTCTCTTTTTCGTCATGTGGTGGCGCTATATCAAGACAACGGTCGCTTTCTTTGATCTGGTAACCATCTCAACTCGGGCACAGTCTTTATGAATTTGAAAGTTGTTGACAGTCACTGACTAATTAATTGATTTTTCAGCGGAAAACTGGATGGAGCAGCACGCACCGAAATTGAATGAGTGTTTGCTCTAAAAACAGTGACTTTATATGCACGAATTGCAAATTGTCATTCGCTCAATTTGAGCTTTTTTTACAGTTAGCTAGCAACATAAGGTGTTGGGCGTACTGGTTGTCACTTCTTGGCACTTGTCCAATCTCTCCAGTTATTCGGTTGGACGGATTGGTGTCAGTCACCCACCACACAATGGTCGTGTTGGGTGTTGAAGAGTGATTCATTCACTGTGCAGTGTGCATTTGGAATCAATGAACATGATGAATTGAATGAGTGTTATTGATCCGACTGCCATCGAATAAAGTTACGGTAACGTTTCAAACAAGTTAAACAGCCGACGGTGGACGTCATGTCGCGATCGAGGGCTGTCAACGGTATTTTGACGGTAAGTTCAAAGTTGTTTTCATGGAAAAAATGTTGCAACCTGACACCAATTCAGCGGTTGTGTACAAAGTCTATGGGGAGTCAAAAAAAAATTCTAAGTAGGAACAAAATTGGAAATGTTTCTCAGTCCCAAATTCATGTCTTTTCAACATTTTTGCAATGACTGACCTTTATTGACATGATTGATATACAGATATAAGAAGAAAAAAGTGGTGTCGGGTTGCAACATTTTTTCCGTTTTCATCAGAAGACAGACATTAATTTTCTGGAATTTAAATTGTATTAAATTATTATTTGTTTTTAAATAACCAAAATCACATTTTCCCTGCACTGTGCACAAGACCTTTGCATTGTGTCATCAATCACTCAGTCAATGTTGGTGTGCTTGTTTAATATATTATTTTTGTTGTAGGCTTTAAATAATTGTACAGAACAATAGCTCGTTATTATTCATTTAAACATGTTGTAAAAGCATGAAAGTGAAATTTGTATTTATAAAAATTTGGGAAATTATTTGAATTTTTGAATTTAAATGCAATTTTTGTTATGGTACAGTTGGTACTGCTGGTAAGTTGTCTGATAAATGTTTCCCAACTGAATTTAACTTTAAGAAGTATGAAGGGAAAGGTTTCGGTTTTATGAAAATGACTACACTAGTACAATGTTTATACAAGATTTTCGATAATAGGGCCTAAGTCATCATTTTTTTATCATGATAATTTTTTAAAAGCGGTAAAGATATTATGCGTGTAGGATAGAACTACTATAATAAGACACATTTTAATTTTTAGGCTATAGTTTAGTTCTAGCTTTAAATATTAATTAATATGGAATTTTGCGATTGGGTGAAATATCGGGTTCTGCCCTTCACAGATGTATTTTTATAAACACTGTAATTTGTATACTCAGTGTTGTCCCGAGTGATCGTGAGCAAAATTCCCAAACTACTTGGGTTAGACTTGAACCCACGACCTCCTGCTTACTAGTGCAGACGTCTTACCACCGAGCTTGCCGGGGTCCGTTGGCTGGTTCAAATCTGATATAGCAGCAGGTACCACAACCAAACTATTATCAAGAAGGAAGTTTGCGTTAGGGCGTGTTAGTTGTAACAAACTCCTACTTTTACATTTTCTTCTTTTGGTCTTTTCAGAGTAAGAATGAACTGGACGAGATCAATCGGAGACTGAAGCAGAACGGCGTGGATCCGCAGATCGGCGATCAGGCCAAGCTCAAGGAATTATGGCGTCTGTTGACGCACACCGAGGCTAACCTCGCGACCTCTAAGCAGGCATTGGGCGAAGCCGATAAGCAACATGCGGTGGAAATGCAAGAGGTGAGCCAAATGTATTGCAAGATTTAATCTGTTGGATTGCACGTGTTTATGGTGTAAATCGAAGACACAAGTGCAACACCATCGGTGAATTGCGGACAGAAACTGAATTGAGGACTCCTCGGTTGGAAAACGTGTACAAAACCAATGAGAGCTGTTGCGAAAAGGTTTAAGTACAAACAAAGGAAAAGGGAAGAGGAACAAAAGAAAATCCTTGATTTACACCATAAACGTGTGTGATCATGCAGAAAGGTGATTGTCCGATCAGTCAATACTGTAGAAAATTTCCTCAATAGTACTTTTTTTTTTAAAAAACAATCACTCAGAGCTGTGATACAGCGTGTCCCAAAAAAATGTCCCTCTCATAGACCACAGAATAATTACCAAAATCAAGTTTTATACTCAATTAAGTTTACATATTTAGAAAGCCCACTTAATTTGGTAGTTCCTTTGGAAATTTTAAAGGTCTCACTTCATTGGTTTTGAATACACAGGCTCTTATGTAACAGCAGTGCTTTCCGGCCCATTCCAAGTTTGATAAAAAGAAATGCACACTACAGACACACCATACCTTATTCCATGCTTCACTTTTATTTCAACAACTGTGTTCTTGTTTTTGTTATTAGCCTAAGTAACTAAAGTCAAGTTCATTTACTTTTTTCAAATGAAAACTAATCAAAGTTCAGTTCCACTGGTCGTGTTTGCTTTCACAGGGTGTGTTCCACTGATGGTTTGTCCTTCAATGTGCAGAAAATGTAGCACTGCAAACTCGGAATGGGCTGAAAAGCACTGCTTTTACATAATAGACTGTGTATTCAAAACCAATAAAGCGAGACCAATGACATTTTCACAGAAGTAACAAAATTAAATGGGCTTTCTAAATCTGAACACTAAATTGAGAAAAATACTTGATTTTGGAATTAATTGAACAGTCTATCAGAGGGACATTTTTTTGGGACACGCTGTTTAGAAAGAAAAAGGTGATTGACCATATGAAGTGTGATAGACTGATCAAGCGAATGCATTTCTACGCAAATGGGAGTGATAGTGCAGCCGTAGATTGAAAATTTGAAAGATATTGAAAACATGCAACACAAGAAAATAGACTGGCGCATGAAACAACCAGTCCACACACTGTCTCAGACTCCTTCAAGTAAAGGAAGTGAAAAACATCTGGTACCAAGTCTCTATTTCTATATATTTCCTTCATACATGCCACCAGACTACTGTAGTCAATCTTTTTCCAAAAGTTGGCCATGTACCAGTCTAGCCTTAGGCTTCAAATTGAAATCAGTTGGCTTCACTCTCGGGTGCAAAATGTTGAAGAAAATCTCCTTTAAAAATTGAGTTGAGCTTGAAATCAAACTTGAAATACTGAGGACCTTGTCTTTGCCTCAAGAAAATTTTGGAGAATTTTGTCAGCTAAAGAGTGAGCAAAGTTGGCCTGAGTTTTTTTTTGCATGTTTTTCTGCAATCAAGGTCCCAGTCTGGGTCTACATTTGCTAAGTCAGCATTTCGGACTAAAGTCAAAGTCATCCAGTTTCTTGTAGTTGGGGTTTTATTCCAGATTTTATCTGATTATGGAGTAAATCTTTTCATGAAATGTCCATTCAGATGAACATTTCATAAACTTCCTAGTGTACATGCATGAATGAAAAGGTACATCGATCTTCAAATAAACTTTTAGTGTTCCATCCCCAAAAACTCCATGAATTCCAAAATTTAGTAAACTGGTCCCAACAACGAGATGTGGCGCAGCAACTAGATCTTCAAATAAACTTTTAGTGTTCCATCCCCAAAACTCCATGAATTCCAAAATTTAGTAAACTGGTCTCAACAACGAGGTGTGGCGCAGCAACTAGTCACAATACCATGACTAGTTGCCTAAAAAGAAATAGGGGGTCGTGACTATGAAAATTGGTCACCAGTGGCAACTAGTGCTCAATGTTTCTGTTTAAAGAAACACAAGAATGTAGGTAATAATTCTTGGAGTTTTTTTTATAATTTCTTCAAAATATACTATTTAAGTACTGTAAACTTGTACCGTGTGTGAAACAAAAAGAGCACATTGAAAATACAGATGTATTTTTCAAAAATCTGGGAAACAATTGAGAGAATAGTGTTCCTTCTACCGTAACTAAGACTCTAGAATTTAAACAAGTCAGTGTTAGCCACGTTAGCTGTTTGTTTTGTTAACAGTACATTTTATACAAGTTTCGTTTTTTAATGATCATCTTTTATCTTGCGGACTAACCAAAATATTTTTGTAACCACGTGCGAACAAGCATGTTCTTTTCTACCTGTTGCCATACCAATCACCTTGGGAGACATCTCGGTGACCTCAATTTGACCCCTCCGTGGAGGCAATTGTAAATTACACCTTGTTGAACATGTATGATCACCTAAACAACCATATACCCCAGGTAGTCTGGCCCCCCGCAAAGATCTTTGGCTGGGTGTTGAATTTCATGCATTTAAGAATTAAGAATGGTGGCACCATACCATGTAGCTACATCATGTGTAACGGTATTACTAGTGCAGACCAGTAAGTAAATTCCAATAGACCTCATAGACAGTAGTAAGGGAGGCGGGGGTACGGGACCAAAATCGAAAAAATCTGCGGCGAGCCTGGACACGCCGCTCTCGATTTTGGAAAAATAGGGGAATCCCCCGATTTCAAAAAAAAAAAAAAAAAAAAAAATCCTGACGCCGAGAGAGAGAGAGAAAAAAAAAAAAATCTCTGACGCCGGGAGAAAAAAAAAAAAAAAAAAAAAAAAATCCTGACGCCGAGAGAGAGAGAGAGAAAAAAAAAATATCTCTGACGCCGGGAGAAAAAAAAAAAAAAAAAAAAAAAATCCTGACGCCGAGAGAGAGAGAGAGAGAGAGAGAAAAAAAATATCTCTGACGCCGGGAGAAAAAAAAAAAAAAAAAAAATCCTGACTCCGGGAGAGAGAGAGAAAAAAAAAATAAAAATCTGTCGTCGCTAAAATGAGGTGATGTCACCACCACGTGACCTTGAAAAATATGTCACCACCACGTGACCTTGAAACGTGTTGAGGCACGATAAAAATTTGGTGTAAACAACGCGACCTTGAAAAATGTGTGAGTCACCACCACGTGACCTTGAAACTCGAGACAAAAAATTAGCTCCTCTACCTGTAAAAAAGGTAGAGGAGCTGTTTTTTAATATAAAAATGGAGAGTAATATGTTTAGACCGACGAGTATTTGAAAAATGAATAAAAAATAATATCGGTTTTTATTAAATAGATGGAATACTTTGGGACGTCACAACTTGGGGATAAGTGCGATCATCATATAATCATCGAGAATGGTTTTTTAATTTGTGAAACGTGCGGTGAAATAGTTTCACGTTATTTTGATTTTTCGGCAGAAAATGTGCAAGAAGATCGTATCAATTGGTCAACTTTAAAGAGAAACAAAAGAAAAACTGTGGAGAAACTTATTTTGTCTGTTTGTCCAGAGCAAGACTCGGAAGATGTCCAAGAAACAATCAATAAATATAACGAGCTCGTTAATTACAAAACATTGAGGGGAAATGGTTGCGTCAAACGGTCATTAATAGCGGCGTGTTATCATCACGTCGTTGGATTAGACAAAGAACGAGTTAGAGATTTATTTAAAGTGACTCAAAATCAATTTAATAAAGCACTAAAAATATACGATGACCACTACAATAAAGGCGGGGCCGAGGGCGTAGCCCTAAGAGGTGAAATAGAGGTATAACTCGGTGGTTCGCTTTCATAATGTTTATTTACCGAGAATTTGAACTTGTAAGTTTTTCGATAAGAGATTTTTTTTCTTTTGCCAGCCGTTCGTCTACCCGTTTTTTAACTTCTTTTTCAAAGTCTGTATCGTTTTTAATCTTTTGAAGCTTTGTGCTGGTCTTTGTTCTAATTTTCTGCTTAAGCTCGTTAAATTTGGCGAGCTCTCTCGTAATCAATAAGAACTCTTCGTGCGATATATCTCCGTCGTTGATGGCTTGAGACACATATTCTTCAATCGTGTTAAGTTTGGAGTCTGCTAATATTTTAATCTGGTCGTGCTTTTTTAGCTTGGCGGATAATCGCCTAGACGCGATTCTAAGCAGAATATCTACACCAAAAGCGCCTATAAACGTTCCTTCTAGCACCAATCCAACGGGGGCTGATATAACACCCAAGAGAGCGGGAATACCGACAGCCCCCGCTATAGCCCCCAATCCTCCTAATCCTATCTCTACGTAATTAATAGTGTCGATCATTCTCTTAATTTTTTTATAAGTGCGCTCTCGGTGGTCTCTCTCTTTCAAGATTAAAGATCGAATCTCTTCAATCTTTTTAAGTCTGTACACTTTTGTTTCTTCGTTAACGTTACTATGTAATTGGAGTACATCTCCAGAAATATCGGGGTATAACGTTTTACCATCTACACTCATGTTTTTAATATAAAAAGATTTTAAAATTAAAAGATCTCCAACTCGATCATGATACCCTCACCCTTATTGTTGAATACCTGTCCTTTTTCACCGCTGATAGAAAATGTCAGTTTGTCGATTATACCGTTTTTAAGATTTTTGAATCCCTCGGCTCTATCAATATCGGGTTTGCGCGTAGCCACGGGTACGATTTTTAAGATGTCAGAAGGACGACCATCAAAAAAGTTTTCACTCGTACTTAATTGCGGGCAGCGAATAAACAAAAATTTAAACGGATTAACGTCGTAAGACCCCGTATACACCACTCTGGGTACCAGTCTTCCTTTGGGTAAATTGAGTAATCGAGATACTTCTCTGTTCAAGCGCAATTTGAGATTTACGTCGGTTATCACCAACGTCACCTTTTTAGATTCTCTAAATATTCGAAAACTTACCCCGGGTATAGAATTTAAAATGAAATCGAACCAATCGACGTCGTACCACCCCGGTGCTATGATGACCGAACCGGTGACTCCGAGTGGCAACGGCTCTAAATGACTCGGAGGAATAAAATCTAAATCCTCACCC